TGATATCTGTTCTTTATGTACCCTCAAAGGGAAGATGTCTATTGTGTCTTTTTTTCCTTTCTAGGGAGCTTGACTGGCAAGTTTAGCATAGATCAACACTTCTCTTTGTCTTTTTTATTAAAGACATCTAGGTAAGAGCTAAAGGGGTTTATTTTACAAGTATGCCTCAAAAACAATTAACAGTAAGCAATAGACTCTTGGCTAAACCCAGCTCCTCCCTAATGTTGCTGCATCTGTCAGGATTCCAATTCGAACATAGCACCTATGTTGAGTTAAAAATTAACCAGAAGTACACAGAGGCAGGTTGTCTTAATTTGGGGTTAAGACTCTGTGATTGGGCATTGGCAACTTAACTCAAAAGTTATCTGATGTATAAAAAGCAAAGCAGAAACACATAAACCATGATATTATTCTTCCATGAAAATAGACTGCACAGATGCCAACTAAACACATACAGGACCATCATTTGCTTTAACAGCAACTTTTTCCTTATCAAATCTGATATTTTACAAAGCCCACCAGTCCACATTCACAATTGAAAAAGTCGATTCTGCTGAAGGTCACGCCGACATTCATGCTGAATGAATGACATTTAGAGTACATTTCCTATTTTGCACCATTTCCTTTGAAATATGTTTTTCTACATGTACACACATGCACACCTCCACACCAGTCCATACCACATTTATGCACACAATCATACAGAAGGCTTTTAGCTGCCTCCAAGCTCTCTGTAATAAGATGACATGATGCTCCTGAGTAACTCTCCTCTAACATGAATACAAAAATACTCAGACTGGTTCCACACTGTTCCATTTATCTTTAAAGGAGATGTTGTTAGCCGCCATTATAAAACGCTTGGTTGCTCAAAACAAAACACAAATCAACACATCATTTCAATAGATGTAATTTTTAAATAACTAATACATTTTAGCAAATAGCTTACAACTGTACACTTAGTTAATGGCTATGAAAAATTAAAAGCTTTTTTTTTTTTTTTTTTGGACATAGCTCCTGATGGATAGTTATTTGCTTTACAGCATAGAATTCTAAATGAATGGTAACCTCTGTTCATCAATAACACATTTTTTTTTTAATGTAGAGAAAAGACGGTTTTTGATTCAATCTGGAATATCATTCAAATGCATGCTAAAAATGTACAAAGCAAACACAGTCACTTCTTTGCGATACTATTGAACAAATCAAAGGCAAACATCAAACACAAATAATCACCATACCAAACATAGTCCCCACAAAAGGCCTATGGATTTATAAAATCTTTAAGCTGTGATCAAGAAACGATTATAGCAGTGCTCGAGTTAAATAGCCAACTAAACGATAAAGCAAATCCATTTGACATAAAACAGCAATACCCAACTGCTGTTAGCAAGCTAGCAGCTGCTCGTTAGTTCCAAGCTAAGCTATAACAAATGGCTTACTCAAAGCGCACACTGACTTACAGAATTAGAGCCTGTATCCATTAGAAGCTTTTTTTCGGGATGGCAGTGCTCACAACCTCAGTTTCAGAGTGTTTCTCACTGTGGCAAAGTTACAAAAATCTATCTATCTATCTATCTATCTATCTATCTATCTGTCAAATTACAGGGTGTTAGCCTTTTCCCAGTGAAGCGGCATTAAACTCTGTCTGCCTTCCACAATAGGTTGCTTTTACTTAATTCCCTTATTTATCTGTATTTTTCAAGCGTTTCGAGCTGCCACTGTTACCCCTGTTATTACAAGATGGTTTTTTTTTTTCCCAACCCTGCTGCAAAATGACATGTCTCTTTGTGCTCCCATCCAGGATAATCAAGTCATCCTCGTCCACATGCCTCCCTCTATCTCTCCTCCAGTGCCTTGACCTTTATCTTCTGCTAAATCTTATTTGCCTCCAGGAATTTATAGGGTTCTCCACTCGTTCATAATGTATTTGCAGTGTCCTACAGACTTTTCATTGCTATGACATTTGACAAAAAAACGTAATGGTAAGATATTTCAGACCCTGCATTCATTTGCGGTGGACTTAGAGTGAATCCTTTTTGGAAGCGGCGAGTAGATGGATTGTGAGCAGCTTTGCCCCAGGTGCATTGTGACTATAGTTCAAGGAGATTGCCTTTTTTTGATGTATGCTCCATTAGGCAGCGAAATCCTAAAAATACTCTAGTCCCAAAAAACTTTTGAGTAGTTTTTGTTTGCTTTCCACTAAAGGGAGATTCAAGTAGAGCATGTAACAAGCCAATGAATCACACATGTTTCCTGTTTGAGTTTGTCTCATATATTTATTTGAGGACTTTTTCTTCCTCTGTAGAGTAACTTACAGTGACTCACAGAACAATCTAGATGGTCCAAGCTAAATGGACGAAGTTGAATTAGCTCAAGTGAAATATTTCATTTGATTCTTTTGCGCTCTCTTTTGCTGGATTTAAGGTCCTTGAAGTGCACTATGGTATTGACTTTTGATTGGTTCACTCCTGTCTAAAAGCTTTAAGTCAACACAAGTCCAAAGTCTTTGTCCTCATCAGCTTACACACAGTCATACATCTCTCAAACCTGGAAAGACAAAAGTCCACTGAACACTTTTGCTAGTTCACTGTGTAAACTAGCTGTGATAGTTCACAGAATGGTCCAGGTTAATAAAGATCAGGTACATTTTTCATTCTTTGAAAACAGCCAATAACATTTTGTTTTGTTTTTCCCTGGAAGCTGATTTTTATTTCACACATTGATTTAAAAAAGACTCTATGGTGTATTATGTAATATACTGAAACTTATTTAGACTACAGGGTTCTTAGAAAAAATAAAAAAAATGTATTTCTGTGCAACTTTTCTCTGTGAAACAGTCCATGAGGAACTTTGTGTTGATTTTGGTGCCCCCATAATCAACTTTTTTTTAAACTTTAAATCAAGAAACTCAGCTTTTTGAACATCTAAAGATACCTTAGTGCATTGCAGTGTTAACAGGGTAGTGTCCGTTGTTGCAGTCGTAGTGGTAGTGTTGGTGGGGGTAAAGGAGGAGGAGGAGGATGAGGAGGATAGGAGAGGGTGTTGGAATCAGTGACATTCTTCAAGGCCAGTGTAAGATTAAAGACCCAGGCTGTCGGGCCTCTGATCATATATTCACAAAAGATACCCTGTGAAGAATATATCTTTAAAGAGAAGCTGGCTGAAAATAAGACCACTGCTTGTGAATATTTGTGGCAGCCTATTATACATATCATATAAATGGTCCATTACTGAGTAAGGAGATTACACCCCGGAGAGTTTTCTTTTTCCTTTAGTTACCCTTCTCATTTTCTGTTTGCCCTCTTTTTTTGGCACAATCCTGTGAGCAGCTGCCTCCAGTGGCATGAGTTTGTCCTCTGTGATGTGTTATGTGTGGGAACTGCATGGATCCTGGGTTTGGATTTAGCCGGGAGAGCTTTATCTGCTTCTTTTTCCCTTTTTTTTTTATTGTACAGAATCACTCCAACATCATAACATATAGTAGCATTGAACTTTAAGAGCACGGATAGAAAAGAGAGGGAGAGATTCTAACAGCCTTGGGCATAATGCGCAACCAGAAGCATTTATGCAGAAATGAAAAATGTCAATAGTGCTCCCTTCCATAATATTGCCTATTTCACTGGCACATAACACTGGCCTGTGACTCATGAACATAAATTCAGCGCACACAGTACAGTTAACCGAATAATGATTAATATAACTTTCATCTTGGGTTTGCTTCACTTGGTGTGGCCTTGGGTCCTTTAATAGTCACGGCACAGTGGAAAATTTAATAGCTCGCTGCTCTGCATGTCCTTCAAATAAAACGTTTCCAAAATGGATTCTCAGTAGCAGCCTTACATATGTACTTAAACTGCTCTATAAGATTTGCCCTTTTTCTATATTTCAAGAGAGAGTTCACCAAAATGAAACTCTGCTAGATCGCAGGATTTCTGCTCCTGGAAATAAACAGCCAATGTCTAAGCTGCTGAGAAGTATAAATATAATAATCAAGTGTCTCATGTCGCTCTTAATTCAATTGTCTCTGTTAACATTTCCCGGCTTTGTCAATCAATGTGTGTGCCTTGTCTTTAAAGCAACAGAGGAGATATTCATTCTGGCACCATTAAAACATCAATGTCTCATTTTTGCTTAATGTCAGAGGGAAAGATAATTGGCATGTGTGCATGCATATTAATTAACTGATAATGAGACGATAAGGCCTCTTCTCTATCTGCAGATGTGGAACCACTAATCAATTGGCAGTGAAATGGGCTAAAAATCGCCGTCTTTTATTCCTCTACTGAAATTAAAAACCTATTTAGTACCACGTTTTCCAACAAAGTGCTTTTCATTTATCTTCTCCAGCACATTATTCAATCACTCTTTCCATTTGTATAATGGTAATATTTTCATGTAATTTCCCACTGCCTCTGAGATGGGTATTTTTGATATGTCTTTGTGAAATAGCTATTCCATTCCAACTCCATTCTCCAGCAGGTAATAAACTTACAACCAATATTTCAGATTAAGTGTCTTCAGCAAATGGAGCCAGCCTCAGATGTCTTAGAGCATTGGGGAAAGATCACTTCTGCCCTCTTGTGGCGAAGGAGATAACTCGATTTGTGATCCTGTCTGCCCCCTGGTGGCAGAGACCGGAAAGAACTTGAATATTTCTTTAACCCAACACTTGGCAGCATGTCATTATTTTTGCTGTGTTGAGCGCTCACTGTGTCTGACTGTTTAAATGAGCAGCCTTCTGATATGCAGAGCATGTTGGAAAGCTGCGAGAAATTCACAGCTGAAACATAAGATGACTGTCTTCAAGGGTTACTGCTTGAGCCTTCAGTGGAATTTGAAGCTAGTCAAGGAGTGTGTTGTAACTATAAGCCTTGACCAGAGGTGTGTGTGAGAAAGTGAAAAGAAACCAAGGCAATCTAAGGAACAGCGGGGGCCTTCAGAATCTTAGAAAATGATGAAGACAATTAAAATAAAGCACAGTTACAAATAAAAACACAACATGGTATTTGACTAGTGTATTTATCACAAAAAGTTTAAGCATTGTGAACACAGGAGCTGTATGTATTCAGAAGTGTGTGTATTTGTGTGTGTTGCTGGCCCAGATGACACAAAGGTTGATGGACAGTAGTGCAGCATTGCCTCCTCCTCCTCCTCCTGCTGACAGGCCCTCCTTCACCCCTGACAGGCCAATCTGTACACACTGCAACACAGACACACACAGCCTGTCTCAGTCACCACACAGCTCATTTGTCATGTCAAATAGCCTCAGAAAAGACATGGCGGTCAGGTTATAGAGGTGATTGTATCAAAGTGACCCCAATGTGTTGGTCATAAATTGCTTGCTTTGTGGTTAGGTACTTTAACCTTGTTCCATTGATACAATTGAAAACAGCAAAAGGACAAAGTCGACTGAAAGGAAAAAAATGGGAAAACATTTGTCATATAAACTTGATATTTTAGAACCAAAACCACAATTTCCAGGTGATCTACTGGATGTACTTCTTACTTTGAGAGTAGCTCACAATGAGGTTTGAAGATCAGCTGGAACTTTCCGTCTTTTCATCCTTGTCTTCGACCGTTGTTCCATTCGTTTCCTCTGTAGACGCCTCCTTGGTTGAAGCAGCTGTCTTTGGTCTCTCCTCTGGCTTCTCAGAGGGATCCACCACCGTGCTGCCGCTGCTCGTGTTGCAACCCATGATTTTGTCAAAATACAAGACCCCACAGTGTGCTGCTCTGCTGTTGGGACTCCAGAGGTGAATAGATTGTTCAAACACTTGTCGTGTACTTGTTTTGGGTTTAGTGCCTTTGTTCTCTATGGCAACCTTAAGACTTCCTGTTAAGTTTGGGTACCTGACTCTGTGTGTATGGTTTTAATTTACAGGCCTTTTGCTGTGAGCCATTATTACCTCCTAAGCAACACTGGTGGAGCATTAACTCTGTAGATAGCCAAAACATAGTTACTGATAAACACTGACAAGGGTTGTGTGCCAATCCCAGGGCAAGCAGAGTCGCTGAGTTGGTGCTTTCTCTCAGTCATAAGTAAAAGAAGTGAAATTATTTCCATCAAGTCAGTTATAGTGGAGAGAGAGCAGATTCTTATTTACAGCTTTTCTGTCTCTGGGAGAACGTAAAGGGGAAACAAAATCTGTAATGATTAATTTGGTAGATACACTGCTTTTTATGATGGAGACCACACCAATGGTACTTGATCATGAAATCACACTATAGTAAATATAGCCTTAGTGTCACTTTCTTGTTTATTCACTAGATAAAACCTGTAACCCACCTGATGTAGTCTGACTCGCCCCTCACTGATTTAGACAGGTTTTTATTCAATAGGATTCAGATAAACCAAGATGGCTGCCACTCTGCCATTGCGTCAGTGTTAATCAAACTGGACATAAGTTGATTCATAGATGTCAGCCATAAAAATCAGAAGCTAAAACGACTGTACTGATGAAGTCAGCCTCCTGCTGTCACAAATCTCTGTGCTCTAAATGGTTGCAGCATCCAGAGACATTTGGCCCTGCACCCATTACTGTATATATCCCCTGTATTTTTTTCCATTGCTACTGAGAAACAGCTTATTCAAGTTATGCAAAAAGCTCAATCACAGCGGAATCCCATAGGAACACACTCAGGTGTTGAGGTTCTTTCAATCGCATGCCTACATGTTATACAGTAAAAAAGGACCTCTTTGGGCTGATCTTGTGTGGAAAAGGAACAATATAGAGCAACATAAAGAAAGTAAATACAATGCCTGCACGAGGGAGAGGAAGACTGAGTACCAGGACAAGGGAGATTCAAGATTTGTCACATGCTCAGCAGATGTGCAGTGAAATGTAAAGACTGCTCCGCAAGGCCATACAATAAACACTCAAAAATTACTTCAGTAATACACATACAGTAAATGTACAAATATACTGTAAGAGAAGATTAAAAAAAAAAAAGTATAAATATTCAAAATGTAGAAAATGTAAACAGTGTAATGAGTAAAGTGTCAGTGCGTAAAGTGTCCAGGGTGTCAAGTGCAGACGAGTACCAGGACATGGGAGAGGAGGGGGACAACGTCAAGGGAGAGGAATGCCTGGACGAGGACAAGGTAGAGGGAGAGGAGTTAGAATGCGTGGTGGCGCTCAAAGAATAGCCAGAGCTGGGTTAACTGATGAAATACTGTAAGAGCTTCTATCATAGACCATGTCATAAACCACAGGTTGTCATACAGAATGGCTGGTGAACGAGTACAGCCAAATTTCAGCCGGGACACAGTGGCATCCATTGTCTGGATTTTTCAAGAAACCAACAGGCTAGGATATTGTATAATGGCTTATCCTACTACAAAGTGTAAATCATTTTTACCTTGTATTACAGTTACTGTAAGCCTCCGGTTTCTGATATGTAACTGTATTTTGTCTCTCGAAGGATTCAACGTCTACCTCCCTCAGGGGGCAGAGGAAAGCACCTACTGTACTGTAAATGAAGAACAGGAACTTGCCATTATCAACATGGTGATTGCTGACAATAATAATAACTGCACTACATTTACTGCAGCAACTCTGTCTGTCTTCTTTTTTTCATAAACCGTACATTCACAAAACAGAAATGTAGAGAGGCTTCAAAAGAAAATGCGGTGCGAAACACAATCTATGATCAATACATTGTACCGTCTATTTAGGGGCAGACCCGACACATTGAAGTAATGCAGTGTTTTTTATGACGATGTGCTATGATTGACTAAATGTTCATGTTAGTGTTTTGGAAGATTTTTTGATCTTGAGACATGTTTACAGTGTTTTGGTGGACATGGTGTATTGTGTATTATTGTATTTTGAAAATTAGTGTTAAGAGTTTAGTTTACAATTGGTTGTTTAGAGCATGAAATTAACTGTTTTGCCAATTGTGTGTTTTAGGTGTCTTGGTATGTTAAGAGTTTAGGAAAATTGTTAAAAGTATTGAAAAAATTGTCATAGCAATTGTAAAAAACTGTAATAAAGCAGCTTGGTAATTAAAATGTACTTAATGTAGACAGCATTGCTCTCAGAAGAAGCACAGAAGAGTGAAGCCATGACTCTGAGTGTAAACCAGTTTCCTGAAAAAAGTCATGAAACAAACCAAAACAACCAGTCTCTGGGGTTTATGTCTTTGATGAGTCAACACGAGTGGCGGCTGTGGCTCAGTTGGGAGACTCGTCGCCTCGCAACCAGTAGGTCAACGGTTCAAGCTGAGCAACATGTCCGTTGTGTCCTTGGGCAAGACACTTATGAATGGATTGTCGTTGTACTTAATCTCCGATGTACGTCACTAAGTGAATTGTAACGTTGAACACATGAATAAAGACAATCATTTATTGAAAGAGGATGTAATAGAGATACGAATACATAAAAGTTTTAAATAAATGCACGTTCACGTATATGCAACACTGATTGCTTTTAAGAAACTCAGACATATTATAATCGACTTCAATAGACTTCGAAAGCAAAAGAATGCTTCTTTTGTTATAAATATTTGTTATAAATATAAATATAGTGAAAAAGATTACAATTGTTTAAGAAATTAGAAAAATTTAGTTTCCCTTTTTTTTTTTAAAGCATTAAAAATGGATTGAAGCACAAAAAATATTGCACTTGAATAGTAAAATCCTTAAAGGAATCAGTATTCTGAATCCTACATCATTAAACAGGACAAGAAATTCTTTTGAAACTGGACATATAATCAGTCCAGTTCATGCTGTGAGGGGCTTGACAATCCTGGGACGAGTTTATCCTTCACTTTTAAGTGCAGCACAATTTGTTACCTCCCTCCCCTTTTAAACCAGATTCATCCAAAGGGCAGTAAACATTTCCGGTTTCGCCCTTCCTTGATTCAAACATCTTCGTACAGTTCCACTGCAGGAGCTGCCCAAGTCGACCACAACCTATAAGCTTTGGTGGTCAATGAGCTGAGTGCTAACTAATGAAAAGAACACCGAGAGTTGGTGTCAGAAAAAGTGCAGTGCAGAGAAAGGATAGCATTAAGCTCGGAGGGCAGACAACACTGATTTTTGTGAAATAATTTAGCCTGAAGAAATTTTTAAAAGTACCTTCAAAGAAACCAAATTACTTGATGCCTGATTTTTTTTTTTAAATATGGCATGATCACATCTGCTCTTGTGCAGGTGGTTGGCCTTGGTCTCTTTCTGCCACTCGATCATTCACCACATCCCTCAGTCGCCTGTGAAAGGCTGACGGAAGGTCCAAACGACGCCTCCTTATAGGAGGACCATCATCTCCTTCTACCTCCTCTGCTCCGTTCATTGAGGAAGCAACATGTGGCCGCCTGCTGGGGATCCTGCCTGAGACCACGTTATTGATGTGACGCAGACGCTGTGGAAACAGGGATATTTGCAGAATTATTAAACAGTGAATAATGTCTTGATCCATTATTTAAGCTCTAGTATCCATTACATTGACTCTGCACAGTATACAAGCAGAAACATCTGATTGAATGTGACAAATTGATGACTTAAGGTCTATAGCAGTTTGTGCTCAGACCTCAGAGTTGTCTGAGTTGAAGGTGTAGGTGAGTCCAGGTGCCCGTTGGGGAGCCGCTTCTCTGTTGTACAGTGAAATGTAGATGTGGTGACTGCTTGACAGTCTGTATCTGCGAGGAGATGCTCTGTACTGCTGGGGAAGTAAGGTCAAGGGGGGAGTGCGAACCTACAATTGGAGTTACAGAAAAATAGCAATCTTAAGAGATAAATCCAGAGTGTATTACAACATTTTTAATTTACATTCATTTGTTTTTTCATGACCTCAGCTTTTTAAATTGTTCTCTTGTTCAGTTTGTCCAATGTAGCAACTTTACTTACGCCAGGAGGTGGGGCAAACTGCATGGCCAAGTCTTTCATCTTTGGCACGTAGACTTGGTTGTAAAAGTTAATGAGGTTTCCCCTGTCCTCTTGACGTGGTGCTGGATAATGTGCTGATGGTGTGTGAGGGGTCAGAGCAGAAACACTGGGGTCTGGAATCAACAATAGAAAGAAGAGTGAATATTACAGTTTGTCTCTTCTTTTATCACCAATATGAAGCAGAAAATACAATGTGGTTAAAAACTTGTGGTAATGTTTTACCACATGCCTCTGAAGTTTTACTATTATTTTTAACCATGCATCCTTACACTGTACATCTCCAGCTCAAACTGAAATATGCAACTTTAGAGGGCTTTAAGTACAGGAAACATGTTGATGGTGGAGCCAGATAGTATCCAAAGATCTTCTGCCTCCAAATCAAAACATTCCTCATCAAATAAAGTGCATTGCAGGAGTCCCATATAAAACTTTGCGACTGATTCATCTCCGGGAAATGAGGGACGTTTCTAAGACTTTACTGTTTATGCAAGTTAACAGATCCAATATTTAGTTAATAACATTTGTACTAAAGTGTTTCTTACTGTTATTCCCAACTGGAGAATTCTCTGTGTTTCTTCCAGAAATCAGCACATCTTTATAGACCTGAGAACAGAAAATGTCGGTGTTCACTCATACACAAAACTATAACAAAGCAAACACATAACAGCCCGCTTTAAAAAAATGACTTACATGTTGATCACGAGAATACTTTTTACACTCACTTTTTAAATGGCATTAAATAAAGCTTTTCATTTCGAGTCCCCTCTATAGCCATAACTATCATACTTTAAAGATCCAGAATCCTGACATGTTTCATCCACAGGGAACTTTTTTATGGAGCAAACATGTCAAGATTTATTGTGAGGTGAATGGCATTGGGTTTTAAATTGTCGTTACATTTCAAAGTCAGTGTTGATGTCAGATTTGACAAAATATAAAAAAACAACAACTTACATTTCTGCTGGCAAGTGGCAGAGACATGTAGCACGCAATTATGCGTTTGAAGGGTAATTCCATACAGGTAATCTGTAAATGCAAATTTCATTTGTTCATTTTTTTCCAGGTTCTTTTACATTCATTTTTACGCAAAGGTGTCACACCTTGTACAATCATCTTTAATAACAAGATGCCATTGCTAATACATTAGTATTCCGTTACATGATAAATGCTGTTGTTTTCAATGCAAACATTTGAACTAAGTTACACTATTCTCCTTTTGAGAAATGAAAGTGATATAGCGTAGCAAGGATTTGTACCTCTGATAATGTTTCAGCCCACCTTAGCAATGATGTAGACGGCACACATGAACAGTTGGTCCAGGTGACGGTCTGCCATGATGTCAGTGAAGTGGACAACAGAGTGCTCAAAACAGGTCCAGATCTTCAAGCGCAGCTCATCAGAAAGGCCCAGTTTGGAAGAAATATCCTTCAGCCTTGAGCTCATCAACATGTAAACCTAAGGCAAAGAGGGGGAAAAAACAACAACACACTAAACATAACATGACGGATTCCCATGATTCAGAAGATACAGACATGATAAGTTTATTAAAAACAAAGCTATGATACCATACAACTTTAGTAGGGCTGAAACTTTCAGCTGGGAACGCTTCAAATAAATCATTAAAAACATATATTTGCCAATGAATACGACATCATTGGTGAGGGTCAAGATTGGTTGTATGAAGGAAAAAAGTCCTTGTGGAGAGCAGCAGAGGTTGAAGCCATCGGCCAAAATGCCGTCTCATAACCCAAACCTTAATGTAAAGGCATTTATATGAAGATATCTTTTTACAGACAGTGGCCCGATTAGTCATTTCTGAACTTCAACTCATTTGACTGCCTCATTCTGCTGGTCAGACTTCAAACACTGACCAGGACACAGAGGTGGAAGGCTTGTTCTGTATGTATATTTACTGGATATCTGTTGGTGAAACCTAAGGGCCCCAACATTTTTACCCCAGGAAAATAATTTTGTTATCAGACAGTGGTGGGACTGACTGTTTGTCAAACACATACAAACACAATGCAATTGTATATTTGTTCTGCAGGCTCTGTCCATGCAAGCAAAAACAATTCAGACAATAATAGACAGTACAGCACTAAAAGAACTCTGCTGCAGGTGCTGTGACAGAGTTATAGGACACAAATGGACAAGTTAAATAACAGGTGATACCAAACTCTTAATTCCACATTTAATCATGAAAAATCTCCAATCACTTTGCACACTAGTTTGTTTGATTAATTTACCTTTCGAGAAAACACAGACAAACAGGTGCCTATTGGTGGTCTGTCTTCAGCTGAAGGCTGTTGATTGTGGTTTGCAGGCACTGATGAAAAACAGAACTGATCAGTCAGTATACAGTATGCATCAAACGAGTGTATTACATGAAGCAATGTCTGCATAGAAATAAAAAAAAAACTGTGATCAGAAAGTGGCTGTAATATGTTGTGTCAGCATCGTACCTCCTGGTAGGTTTTCATCAGGTTGCAAAACAGGCCTGCTCGGGTCTTCAAGACTGTTAGGAGCCATCACCTGCATGCCAAACAAAGACTCCATTTAAAACTACATCATGTACATTTGATGCTTAGATAATCATCAATGATTTGTTCAGTCAAATAAAATGTTTCAATCTTATTTTTTCCCCAAGCGACGCAAGATTAAGGGTGTCAACCTGTTGGCAGGTAGGCAGACGGCCGTCATTGGCTCTGATGTCCTCCCACAGAGGTGAGTCGCTGGTCCAGGCCAAGCTCTCCAGGATTTTCTCCTCCACTTGAGCGAGGTGTCTGAAGACAGTACGAGACAGGCCGTCTCTTACTCGCAGAACCGGCTCTATCACCTGTCAGACCAAAAGGGAAACAACATGGAGGAGGGAGGTTTGCTCAAAGTTAAGAGTAATCGTGGATGTTTCACTTCAATGTAAATTTTTACACACTGTGCTTTTCCAAGACAACGCAGACAACATATTATTTTTGGTTGTGTTGGGAATGTGGTGTTGATATTTGACAGTTATTTGGGGTTGAGATCTGTATACATATTATATTCCAAAAAATAAAAATACTAAAGTATGTATATGAAAATGTTATCAATGTAAATAAAATATCAACAAATATCTGTGTACACGGCTATTGCAAGCAAACATTTATGAGGAAAGTTTAACAAACCTTTCCAAAGTGGTATGGTGCCAGTCTGATGATCTGAAGAAGCAGAGGGAAGTCACATGGTAGGTTGTTGGATGATATGGCCATCTCCAGACAACAGGCCACCAGACAGTAATGGTACAGTTCATTGTTCAAGATGCTCTGTAACAAAAACAAAAGTCATCATAATTAAACATAAAAATATATTTGATTCCAAAGGCAACAAAAAGCTTAAACACGTAATGTAACATGCAGTATTGGGTGTCTCTTGTCACAGCTCAAACAGTGCATGTAGTGTCAATAATTGAGTTTGCTAGACTGCAGTTCTGGTTTTAGCCACAAGAGGGCAGTACACTCACTGAAATATCAGCGATGCCCAGCCTTTTCCTCTCTCCAATGGCGTGCTTCTCCAGGATGCGGTAATACCAAATCCCAGCTTGGTGGCAGCACCTACCTGCCAACTCTGAGAGAAATATCACACATATTAGAAGTGAAAAGTATAAACAACAATAGATTTATTCAAAAATATATGACATGCCTTAAAAAGAAAAGAAACAACCCTCACTAACACTGATGTTGTTAGTTGTTCCCTGCTGTGTTATGTTGCCTCTGATGGTTTAGAGAGCAGCTTGATCACATGTCTCAACTGTTTTTGGAGAATTAAATAAAACATACCGTTGGTCCCCTCATTTCCTGCAACGTTCCTGTGGTGCTGAAGAAATGTGTTTAACAACCTTCTCAGTCGGGTCCTAATCACCTCGGTTGGATCTCTGGAGCACTCCCTGATTTAAAGGAATCACAAAAGTGAGTACAAAAGCACAGCAGTTACATTAGCAGGGGATATTGGTTGGAAAACACCTGGAATTAAAAAAAAAAAAAAACCTTCCCTAACAAAGGTGTTTTTTTAGAAAGCTCATTAAAATAATTTAAAAAGTATATAGAAACCCTGTCAGAAGTTCTCATTGCAATCCTCGTTTTGGGTGTTTTTACTGAAACACTTCACACATTCACTAACGTATTAACAACGTTTCAACTGTCACATCACATCAATATGTTGATGAAAATGTCTCTAAACTAAGGAACACTATCCTCTCACTAAAAAAATCAATGTGAAAATAAAAGGTTTGCTAGCTCAGTATAACACATCCTCGTCTCGCCTCACTTGTATTTATTTACACTCATGTATGAATACAAAAGGTTTTAATTTCATCCAGATGACTTTACGTATCTTATTCTTTCTAAATCAGCTGCTAACTCAGAGTTTATGTCTGTTTTTCTCTCTAAACTAAACGTCTATAACCTTTCCTTTACAGCTATGAACACTGTTAGAAACTATTACAAAGAAATAATATTAAAAGTAAAGACACCTCTCGAGTAACACAGTTAATAATGACTCATCAGGTGTGTGATGTCGGTTTATGACTCCTGTGATCACAGGGCGTGTGCTCGTTTGACGGAGAGAGACTGAACACACACTCGTGCCGATGCCGATCTCTGTTGACAAAAGTAATATTTTTTATGTTTACATCACTGGTCATCGGATTTAGGCTCATACTTGCCGTTTTAAAATACGGTTTAATCCTTTAAATGGATAATGACCCAAACTTTATTGACCGTCATTCATCCAGATGGAATGATTTCACCCAGAAAGGGCCGGGGCCGGCATCGTTTGGGTTGCTCTCATGAGTATGGTCATGTTGCTATACTGGGTTTTTCTTGATAGCTGAACCCGCCTGTGTCGGGCAGAGGTTCAATGGAAGGTTCTCACAGATACCAGTGAAAGATAAATAAGGTGTATTTTGATTTGTAAATCATGCAAAGCTACTAAAGAGGTATCACAGAGTGAAAACATCAAACTTGAAATGAGCATGATACTGCTCCTTTAAATACAGAAGCAATCTTTTTTATTCAAGGTAGATATTAAAATCTTACATGCATGTCAAAGTGTTGTGGTTTATTATGTTACAATCTGTACTCTAAAATAACCTAGATGTTTATCTTCATTTTATGATCCCATACAACAGAATACAACTGAGAAAAAAACATACAAGGATATTAGCGCTAACCTGAAAATAGCAGTCAGGCGATCACTGGGGGCAAAGCAGCCTGGTCCTGTGGCTGCCATGGTGACCTGCGCACACACACACACACACACACACACACACACACACACACACACACACACACAGCGCATTCAATTTAAAATGCCAGTTATGAACTATGTGTCCTCGCTGCAGCATTAAAATGACTCATGCAGAGGAGGAAAAGTGTCACTGACTAAAACAAACATACATGTCAGTCCAAAGCACGTTACCTACACTGAATAAAGCAGAAACAAAAAAACATCACACATAACTAGCATTACTTGGACTCTTTTGTAGAGGTGACAGAGAGGAGGACTCTGAACAAACTGTTATCCATGATGGATAATCCTGATCACCCTCTGCACACCCTGCTGGACAAACAGCGAAGCAGCTTCTCCAACAGACTGATACAACTCCGCTATCACAAGGACAGATACAAGAAATCTTTCTTACTGAAGGCCAGAACTCTGTACAACAGCTCACCTCATGCGAGCAGAGAACTGTCATCATGACAATATCTGTCTCTCCTTACTGTAATCTGCACATGTTAAATTCACAAATTATCCCTGTACTCAAGTTCACTTCATTCGTCTGTCTACTCTCTGTTATATTGAATAGTTTCTGCTTATTATATGTCTACACTCATGCACTTTAACTTATGTCAATACTGTCCATTTACAACCCTGTTTTTGCACATTTACATTCAATCTTCCATATTTAATCTTCCTATTTAAGACTAGTAATGCTTAGTTAAATCCTGGTTGTATATATTCACATTCTTAGTTTTGATATTTTTAGTGCTTATTTACTTTGTATTTAATATTATATTGTGTTTAAATTTGCTCATATTGTGTGTTTTGACAACCTGCTGATGTAACGCCACAATTTCCCAGTTTGGGATCAATAAAGTAATTTTATTCTATTAAGAGTTAGCCTACTGCAAAGAGTTTAAATGAAGTCTAAAACTGAGTCATCTACCGAAAAGGGTCAAATATTAAACCCCACAACAATGATTTCAAACTGCTGAATAAAATAAACGTGACAGGGCAGCTCATAAGGGATTTAAAGGTTTCAAAAAGTAGCCAAACTCACTTTGTAGCCTATCTGAGACAATAAAACGACGCGGCTTTAATGTTGTCACATAACATCGCGATGAACGGAAACATTTACTTTAGATTTGCTTACAACGATTTACTCATGTGACAAATCAAAACATTGAAACACGGTGAGAAAAGGCACAGACACTTCTGGGTCAACATGAGGAACAGAAAGTTCTTGAACATGTGGATCCTTACTACAGAAATGTTAAAGCCGTCGATGCTGTCATTTCCTCAAAGCTGAAGTCATAATTTTTTTTTTTAAAGGAACCAACCCGTTACTTTCACTTTGAGTCTAGGAACATAAACAGCAACACTCAAGTTAATAATTGACTAATAAGCATCGATACAGCTGTATTATACAGTGCAATAGCCTGTTTTAATATTCTTATCTTTAGATTGGAAAGTTACAGCAGCACTAAGTCTTCTTGGATAATGTAGACTATTCCGCTATGTTGGCTCCATTCCTACACGAACTTCTAATTTAGCACAAAAAACATAGACGCTTAAATATGCTCTAAATCACTTACCAGGATTTGTATAGTGCTTCTATTGAGTTCAAGATCCAGACAGAGGTTCTTGCAGTTAAATAGCCCTTTAAAGGTCTCTTACTTCCGATTGATATCGAAGAAGAGGTAATGCATTCAGGGTGTGGCTAGTTAAAGTCACTGCTGAGACAAAGTTCACTTCATCTGCCTCTCAGCGGCAGACATGTCAAGACTTGCCCTGCATCTCATTTCTCTTTTCTCGTTTCCTCGTTTCCTCGCTCCTCTAGGCCCGCCATGTTAAGGACAGTCCAAAGCTCTTTGGAAAGGAGGGAGAGAGGATCGAGGAGAGAGGAGGGAGACCTGAGGAGCGATGACCGAGGAGACAGGAGAGCTGACTTTACAGAAGTCTTCTTACTGACATGCACGCCCCCTTTCTCCAATATCACTCATTGATTGGACGCTGCGGCGGATTGGACTTCATTGATGCCAACTCCGTCATGTCGTCACACGATCAGCTGTTGTCATCGTCACAAAAGGGACGTCGCTTCACCTGACGCTACAAAGGAAAGGACGTCTCATGTCTCATATTTCCTCAATTCCTCTCTCCTCTGCTTCGTTTCCTTGCTTTTCCCTGTGGGAGGGACTAAGGTGCAAGTGGAGGAGGCCAGTGGAGGACACTTGGATGCAATAAAGGGAACTGAGAGTACCCATGTTGTCCGCGTGTGGTTGTTTAGAGGAAATGGAAAAAGTGACGAATACACAGGTCAGTGAACTATCTATGAAGGCCTACAATATATGATCAACAAGATACTGTGCAACAGCAGTCTCTGGTGGTGCTGGCTAAGAACAAATGTGTGATTTACGTTTTGTCCGACAGAGTAGTACTATTATTAAACCCGCCAATTGAGTATGAATTATTTTGTCTTAAACCATCTTTTTTTTTTTTGCTTTTAGCATTTAAAACACGTCCTTATAACTTGCATGTTCATAGTGTAGCCCTAGAAGCTGTTAAAGCAGCTTATTAAGTCTAGAAACCATAGCTAGTCTAAGTACTAGTTTTTCCTACTTTTTTTTGGTAATGAGTAGTCATTGTTTTGTACTGTAATTTGTTACTATTGCCAAAAAAAAGAACTTTAAAAAAATACTACAGTAGGCTAACCTCAATTGAAGCAATGAAAGCCTATAACCTGTAGTATTTTTGAGTTTCAGCTTTCTTGAGACGCCAAATTGAAAAGCAGATAGCAAGAAAAGAAAGTTATAAAGTGAACACAGTGAGGAGGAGGAAGAGGAGGAGGACCAGGACCCCCCTCCTCCTCCCCCCGCCCAGACAAAACAACAGACAAAGGCACACTTTATTGATAGTCAGAAGAATATGTTTAATAAAAATAATTAAACCTCAATTTCCTCTATAGAACTTCATAGAAAGTAATCCAATAAATTACAAATGACTTTTTAAGACAAGTTGTCCTGCACTTCATAAAGAATTATTTTGACTACACAGACCACATCTTGCAAATATTACAACTGTCCAATGAAAAAAAAAAAGCAAGACAGAAACTGACCAGAGTGACGTTTATAGGATATAATCAAGCCTGAAATAAAAATACAAACCAATGATGCTAGCTTTGTCATCCCAGTGATTACATGTATGCAAACAGAAAGAAAACCTCCCTGTACAGCAGTAGTGTGTTTTGTCTTTCCTTTTGCATATTGGTCATGTTTACTTTTGTTTGAATCAACACTGTCTCTCTAGCATAGAAATGTTTTGAGAGTCCTTGTACAGTACAACATAAGAAAAAAAGATAGAAAAATGAAAGCAGAAAGTCCAATGTTATATCTACCATCTTTTCCATTTGTGTCCTATAGAAGTTTAGCACGGTCATAAATCCATCAACACGTCACCGCGGGGCAACAAAAAGAAGCAACAGTCCTCAGATCACCTACAGCAGAAGAAGCGATGGCTGGGTGTTTGTATAAGGGCACTACGAGTTTAAAGAGAGCAGGGGTGCAGATATACAAAAATGACAGAGGCATGTTTAATTACATTGCTCAGACATAGAAAAATACTATACTGTGAGTAATTATATAAAAAAATGCAATTGCATTGCAAGCAAAACTCATGAAGAGGTCTAAATAACAGGCATACAAGAAAAACTGCTAAAAGCAACATTAGAGATCTTCAGCCACTCCAGAACAATGCTACAGCAGTACTTAAGAAACTAAACAGACTGAGTTTAAGTCAGTGGGGTTTTTTCTTCCCCCAACACTTGAGGGGCGCTCTGTGAGTCCTAACAGAAACCTGAAGCTCCGAAATCATTTTAAAAAGTATATCTAACAGTCCACTGTGTAACAGCAGTCCTAGAGCAAGCACTGTTGTGCTAGAGAAGGTTACAAAAAGGTACTTCGGCTTGAGTGTTTGTGTGTATCCTGGTTACAGCTGAACATTGACATGAGCGGAGATGATGAACTAAATGCACAAAGCATGGTGCACAAATTTGAGCTGTTATTTTGTCAGACGGAAGCAGAACGATAGAGCGAGGTACAGGATAAGGGCACTTCTACACCTAGATGAAGCTCCATTCATTTCTGAAAACACAGTCAAGCAAAAAAAAAAAAGTGAAACAAACACAACAAGCTGCGAACTCACAGTAACACAAGCTGCCATCATTTCACCTTTTCTAGAACTAGCCTGGCACTGTGTAAACTTGAATGCGCAATCAGTGACAATCACTTCAATCTTAGGCAAGATTTTTAACTATTTTGTGCATGTGCCACGTTTGTATTGTTAAGACTTTGGTTGTAAGGGGACCATGCAACACATAATCCAGAATGAACTTTAAATCCCTAAATGTTTCTAGTGAGAAGAGTTTGAGATTGAAAATGTTGGTACAGTAGTTTTTCCTACTAGCTTGCAAGGCGCTCTCATTTAGAGTCGACATTCAGACCGAAAAAGCTACGGAAGCAGTAGACACCAGGTGAAAGGAGCAGTTGAGCCAAAGAAGTCAACACAGTGGAAGCTCTTGGTTAAAAAAAAAAAAAAAAAGGCCTCCGACACATACATTTGAGCAGAGACTAAGACTTTCTGCACACGGACATCAAAAGACACACCCAAGCACATGTAAATCTGCACAGTGAAGCCAATCATTTTAGCACAGTCGAGGTAAGATGCAGTCAAATACGGCGGGATGTAGTTATAATATACACGTCATCAAGACTCCTGAATTCTTCCTCGAAACACTGTCTGGATTGTTAATGATCAAAGGGCAGTTTGTTTGGCACACAGTAAAAGGTTGTTTGTTCCCCCCCCCCACACCACTCCTCCGCTTGAGGAGTTTATGAGACACTGTAGTCAAAATCAACAGATGTGCAAGTGAACGGGTGTAAGCTCACTGTGAGCAGCTAAAGTGCGCCTGACATATTTTTAAGGTGAAGAAAAGGAGTTTCCATAATGACATATCCACCTGAACATTGAAACATTTAAAAAAAAAATAACAGCAAAGAATTGAATTTGGATCCGTTTTTCAAGCTAATGCTGTTTGTTTGAAGAACGTAATACTTTGACAGATTCCTCTCTGTATTACAGTGATGTTGAAGAGGGGGCGTCCGAGAGGATGTGAACAGATGCAACAATAAACTCAACGTGATGTGAAAAACAGTGAAAGTGAGTGAGGTTGGGTTGTGCACTGGGTTGGAACATGGCAGACAGAGAATCTACAGCTTCAGTGACATTCATTAGCTGCCCAAGTTATTGCTGACATATCCAATGTATGATCTGCAAAGCACAAGTGTCAACAAACCTGTTAAAGTTTTATTTACAAGAGAAAACCAAAGTGTTTGTCAAGTTTCATTCTCCCAACCCCCAACAGTCAAAATATATTAATAGTACAGCTCAAAGAGCATATTGATGTAGTCTCACTTTTTTAATAAAATTAAATCCTGACATAATTACAATAATGCCTTTTTGTTTCAATTGTACATAATGGTGTGGTACAAGTTCACAGAGTTCAGAAATCTACTAAAGTCTGACATGCAAAATGTCTCAAACAAGACTGTACCATTGAACAGGAACTGAAATCTCATTTCAGTTTCTTTAAGTCAGTTGTTCATTTTTTTTTATGTCTTTGTAGTCTTTATTACACAACATTTTAGTTAGTTCTTGTATTTACATGTAAAGAAATCGCAACATAAGTGCTGGAAAAAATCCATATATATGTGAATATATGTATACATTTCTAGGCAATACATAAATAAATCTATAATTATATATTCAGAGGATCAGTCCTCATCACTGGAGTCTGAATCGCCTGATGAGGAAGAAGAGCTCCCAGACTCTGAAGAAGATGACTTGGCTTTCCCCGAATCTTCAGGACCACTGTTCTCTTTTTGTTCTGCTGACTCCTCTCCTTCTTCATCTTCATCCAAAGCCTCTTCTAACTCCTCATCATCCTCATCTCCGTCCTTCTCTGCTGCTGGCACCTCTGTCACCTGTGGCAATGACTGGGAGGCTGCAGGCTGAGGAGGAAAAGGAGCAGGAGGAAGGACATGCTCCCTGCTTGAGCTCTGCAGCTGTGTGGCAGACACAGGAAGGTTAAGGCCTGGAGTGAGAAGCATCCCTGGGTAAAGCATACTGGAGAGTAACAAGGGGTTAAGAGACAGTGAGTGACTGGAGGCTGCTGAGGCAGCTGAAGCACTTTGTGGGGCGCCGGCAGAGGAAGAGGAGCTGGAAGTGGAGGAAGGAGTTGTGTTCAAGCCCTCTGTCCTTTCTCCTTTGGTGTCTGAGGTGTTAGAGGGGACTTTAGAGGCCGACGGCTCGCCTGCAACACTGCTGATGGTTCCTTTTGTCTTCTCTTCAGAGCCACCTGTGCCCTCCTGAACAGGCTTCCCTAGCAAACTGCTCATGCCAATGAGGTTTGGGATTCCAGCCATACCAGAGAGCATCATGGGAAACATGGCAGCAAGGTTACTTGCAGCCAGATTGCTAGCATCAGACGGCAGCCCCATTAGGCCCGCGGTGAGCTGCAGGGACTGTAAGCTCTGGAGGTTTTGCTGGAAGGCCTGCAGACTGGGCAGGTCCATTCCAGTAAGGAGGCCATTGGCTAGAAGGGGGTTCAGACCCAGTGCAGAGACTGCAGGGTTGGGAGCTGCAGCTGCCGCAGTGGCAGCCGCTGCTGCCTTGGCCAGAGGATTCTTGGGTCGACGTCCACGTCTGCTCACCTCCTCAGGAACAATTGGTCCTGTTAGGATCCTGTCAAACATGCTCTCTGGGAGGTAACCCTGAAAAAACATCGAAGAGATGATGGGGTTGGTATCATTAAACATCAGAGACAAACCTGTGTCATTACAAATATTACCGCACACATGCTATAAAAAGTAAACACTAAGGACTTGTTTAGGTCCATCTAGCTAAAACTCATATAGTGAACAGCTGTTAACCTGATGTTCACATAGATGTGATACTTTTGACTTACCGACTGTTTGACAACATCAGCCCACTCAGGTGGGACACCGTACTCGGGGTTCTCCTGAAGGAAGCGGCACAGATCCTTCAGAGGAGGAGCAAATGCTCCACCGACCTACATGACAGATGACAGCAACATGAACCAAAGGGCAAGACAACCAAAAGTTTCTCTTTCTGTAGAACCTTGTTAAAAAAGCAAAGGAAGTACTGTCTGGCTTCATTACAGTAAGAACACTGGGCAATGTGAAGGTAAAAGCATCCAGTGTGTCAAACAGCTACGACCCAGTTTTGAAGCTTAGTCTTTAAAGGAACACTCAAAAACAAAAGCAAACCTTGCGTGCGTTTCTCCTGTTGATGATCTGGACCCTTTCTTCTCCTGTCAGGCTGTTCACATCGATCTTGTTGGGGTTCCTGCAGCGGTGCCTTTTCTGTTTGGGCCGACCATCCTGGAAGTGGAACTGCATCTGCATTTTATTTACCCCCTGGATAGGAAATGATACTCATGATAAAAGAAAATGCCGTAGATTTTCTGTACAAAAGAATGATTGGTTCACTGGCTTTTGCAAAGTAAAACAACCCTCTGTTGTTGAATTCATAAGGAAGCTATGTTTTGTACCTGCCTTAAAAAACTGCACATTAATCTCACCCAAACAAACTAAAAATTATGATGTGATTTTGCTTTATAATAATCAGAATCTTAACAAAACATTCTTCTTTTAACTCTACAGAAACCTTTAAGGTAAAGTGATGATAAGAAATAAGTACTCACAGGGATGAAGGCTCCTGTGTCTGCCACAAATCCAGGGTGCTCTTTGAGCCACAGATCTAGATCTTTCCTCCTGGGAGCATCGTCCCCAGCAAGCCGGGTGCCATCTTTGAGGTTTATGACAGGGACTCTGCTGTCAGTGTCTGCTGGTATCTGATTGGAGCTCTGGCTGAAGCCTGGCATTGAGGTCACAGCCATGCCCACCTGGCCAATACCCCCCCACCCTGGAGGCATCTGGAAAAACACAGGCACAAAAAATGGTGTGTTATTTAGGATACAGCTCATCAGATCAGAACACTAAGGTATACAATAACTTATTATCTATTCATTGCTTGAATAATCAAAATAAGTCAAATAGTAGAGGACGCTAACCTGATCCGAAACAGCAGGGACTCTGCTCCTGTTCATGAAGAGCAGGTCCATCCCCTCCACGTTCTTTCTCCGTCCCCTCCGTCTCTTCACCACTGGCTGGCCATCCAGTACTCCATTCAGCCTCATCTGACTGGAAAGATCTGGAGGGGCTGCAAACAAAAAAACAAAAAAACAGGTCCATCTAGTTTGTCAATGTTTACTGATTTTTAAGCTTAAGGAAGGATCTTTTGAATACATTCGGAAATATCTTACATTTTGGGGTCATTCCATTAAGGACTTTTTTTTTGACTCACGGCTGCTTGTTACTGATGTGTACTTATGGCAAAGGTCAGATGTTGTATTTTAGACTTAACACACATTTTTTGTTTCGTTACCATCTGTAAATTAAACTAGCATGGCCAAAAAGATGACAAATATTATCTTCCTGAAACCAGACTTTGCTGCCATCTAGTGGTAGTCAAGGAAAATAGCAGGGACTTCTGTCAACACATGTATGTACATGTAAAGGTCTTATGGCTTTTCTGCATTTGAAATAAACACACCGGTCTGGAAGCTGCACTGAGGCTTGGTGATGTCTGCCAGGCCTGTGTCCGAGGCGCTCTGCAGCTCATGAAGCCGGGCCAGGTACTGCTGCTGGGCCTGGGGACCTTCCTCGGACTCCAGGGGCCTCTTCAGAGGTAGACCTTGTTTCTGGAAGGTCAGTTTGAGACCTCCTTCCTGCTGCACACACACACACACATACACACAAACAACAAATATGTTAGACAAGTCTGAGGGAATAAAACGTTAGGGTGAAAACAAAGTTGAGATATAAACAAGGAGAAATGTGCTATTTAATTTAAAAAATCCTCATCCGGCTGTTTACTGCGTAAGGAATCTTTCACTGATTTTTCATCTATCCACAGATTAATGGATATTGAAGTAAAAGCTTTTTTTTATATTACTTAAACTTTATCATTGAAGGTATATTTTTCACAATATATGATTATTTATAAACATGTTTTACATTAAGAGAACATTTTTGCAGTTATTTTCTTGTTAGTAGTATTGGGACACATGGACACAGAAGAGGGCAGTGACTAGCAGGGGCAGTGGGTTTAGTCTAGTCATAGTTTGGACTGCATCGGGAAGCCATGCCAGAGAGAAAGCTGCTGTCAGCGTTAAGGAATTTAAAGGTAACAAGCAGCAAGTGTTTGAAGGTATAATTTATGAAAAGATCTTGATCAAAAAGAAAAACATCCAAAGCAAAGAAATAATCGAAAGCAAGTCTGAAGCCTGTCAAGTTAATGGCCACATGCCTCGATGCAAACTAGAAAACGCCTACAGCCGAGGTCTCCATTTCAATCAGATTATAAGCACGACCCCTTCAGTACAGAGAGGCTTCAAACTGAACTCATTATGTCCTCATGACTGAGTGATTTGTGCTCATGTAATCACAGCCTCAGAGCCCAATTCAAATTGAGTGTGTGGGAAAGGAGAGGAACGCTGTTATTAAATTAATCTCTCCTCCTGCCGGGCAGTCAAAACCACTAATCATACCCGAAGGAAAGAAGGATGAAAACCAGAGAAACATGCTGAACACGGCAGCTAACACCAGTCATGGCAACAGAAGTGGTAGGGTCCTACGATTAGGGCGAAGCAGAGGGAGGCGGATGGGAATAAAGGAGAAATCAACATACATCGTTGAGTTTTACTGAGAACTCCTTGTTTTCTGCAACATGCTTGGTCACCTTTGACCCCTGTGGTGAGGCAGAGGGGTCCTCGCACAGGCTGTTGGCATTGTCCAGCAGCTTGGTGGTGTAAAAGGAGGCCACTGCACCTCCTGGCTCGTACACACGACGTGTTCCTGGCCACTTGCCCTTTAGCACTGCCTGGCAGATGCTGTCCAGGCGGTTGATAATCACACGATCCTGAAGAAACAACAGCAAGACTATCAGAACACTCAAGCACTTGGATCATAAAAAAGAACAGAAAGGATATTATTTTCATAACCTCAAGAATTTAATAGATCAAATAATCCCTGTTAGCTGAACATTTTATTCAAATACCTTCAGGGACAATGCTGTTCAGATTATTTGTAAACCAATCAGTTTCGTTATCAAAATGACTCATGACTTGTTTGCACACATTAACAGTTGTTTACCTTTGGCCAGTAGGATGCAGCAAGCATGTACCCCCCTCCCTGGAAAGGATGAGAGGAGTTGTTGTTGATGCCGTTCTCAGTCCCATGGGTGTCTTGCGTTTCATCCTGCGTTGTGCTCAGAGATGCCACACTGTCCTCATCGAAGCCCTTTACTTTTGTTGCTGCAGGCACTGAGAATGTGACAGACAGAGAGACGGACATTAGAAATAGTGTGCACACCTCTTGGACAGGGTATAATTTGGCTTCTAATATGGTGTCGTATTTTATTAACAAGGCTTATTCTACATTTCAGTTTTTTTTATCCTGCAGCTTAGAAGAATAACATCTACTCACCTTTCTTCTTCCCCTCCTCTCTCTCACTGTCGCTATCTTCAGAAGAGGATGACGAGGACGACGAGGATGAAGAAGACCCAGAGGAGCAAGAGGAAGAAGAAGAGGAGGAGCTGGACCCAGAATGTGAAGAGGAAGAAGAAGACGAGGAAGAAGATGAAGAGGAGCGTGATGAAGTGCTTGAGGAGGAGCCATCTGAGTCAGATTCTGAGCCTCTCCTTGCCTCCCTGCGCCCTCTCTTGCTAGCCTTCTTGGGTTTCCTCTCAGAGGAGTTTGGCGTGAGAGGTTTGGTACGTGCGGCCACCATCTTTTTCTCGCTGTCCCTCGCGTCTGTAATGGGCTTCTCCTCCAGACCTGTGGGAGTAGGTGGTGCTTGGGGAGGACTCCAGCTGTCCCCAGGCTTCTCCCTGCTCTCCTCTCCTTCTGAGGCAGGTTCCATTTTTGGTACAACCGCACCGGGCTCAGTGTCTTTCTGGGTAGGTGGAGGCAGCGGAGAGCCTGTCAACACTGAGCTAGCATTCTGGAACTGGGGCTGTAGAAGCGGGGTGGATGTATGGGATTGCTGCTGTGTAGCTTTTGTTTGGCTGTTACGTTGGGCAGCCATGAAGCTGAGCTCAGGGTCTCTCAGGATGTGATAATCTGTGCGGCTGACACCATGTTTGGCAGCACCGATAAGCAGGTCACGGTCATGAGTACCTGCTTCCCACCACACGGGTAAGTCAGAGCTCATCTGGCACAGTGGCAGACGCTCATACAGTAATGCATGACGGAGTACTTGCTCCCGCACCTGACGAAGAAGCTCCACTCTGTACAAGGTACGAGACGCCCGCTCCTCTGTGATGGGCTGGATGGTCAGAGTCGGGTCCACAGCAGAGTCTGCAACATAGCCCAAGAAGACAAAAAAAAAGAAAGTGAGGCTTCTACACAGAAACAACCCAAAGACCTGTCTGTGCCTGGAGTTTAAACATCACACTGTTAGCTTTTTAGAAATGATTAACTTTATCAAACCCTCTGCTTCTGAACCGTTGAGCCAACATTTGTTTTTCAAAGGTAAAACTGATCTCTCTTTAGAATGCAATCCTTTAAAGGCAGCAATGAGTGTAGAATATACTACAGTACCTGAAACGATGTAAACATTATATTGTGATGAATAAATACTTTATGTATATTCTAATAAGAAACATTTCAGCTATTTGCTTACCTTACAATAGATATTTTTATTTCTACAAAAAGATTGTCAAGGTGCCAAATAAAGAATTAACCCTGACATGATCAGCATAATGTCCAAACCCATTTTTTTCAACTGTGTATAAATATATACTGACATTAAGATTAAAACGATATTCATAAAGATATCTATGTGTTTGTTAATGAACTGGTAAGACTACTGACCTCCCTCTTTGGGTGGCAGGCGACACACCCTTCGGCACATGGCGGTAAAAGCACACAGGTATTTCTGCAGGCTCTCATCAGTCTTCTTGTGCAGCCGAGCCATTGCCCTGAACTTGGTCCAGTCGAACCGGCTGAGGTTCGGGTCAAACACTACACCAAATGTGGAGACCACACGGTAGAAGTCGGCCTCTTCTCTCCTGGTCCATCTGAGGAATGGGAAAAAATGACATCTTGTTCAAAATCATCAAGAACGATATTTTTGGTTCTTTTTCATTAAACAATCCATTTTAGATCATTTATATATATTTTTTCAAACGTGGATCTGCTTCTTGATCTGACCTTTGTTGGCGCTCAATCTTAGCCACCATCTTTGGGTTCAGGGTGTCATTGAGAGTGGGGGGCAGCGGGCAGAGTGGAGCTGACAGTATCATGCTGGGCGTGGACTGAGACTGAGTCTGGTGGATTTGGAGGATCTGCCGGCTCTTAGTGAAGCGCTGCGAGGCTGTGATCAGACGTCTCAGTCTGGCTGTCAACACCGAGGATGAGGGCCAATAGATGGTTTCACCTCCTGTCATTGGAACTGCATCTGGATCAGAGTATTACACAGTGATAGTAACATTACGTTTTTAGAATTAGACCGGCACATTTTTTTTATGGATTATGGATTAAAGCATCTAAAGCTCACCTCCGGCGTTGTCAGTGACAACCAAGTCTCCAGGTGAAGAGGCATCATCCTGCAACAGAAGTTCATGGCAGGTTTTAAAAAACACACTTAAACCAGTTTTAAAGTCTTTCAGACTGATTGGTTAAACGATAAATAATTAACAAGCTCAAATACAAAGAGGGGACAATTTCCCCCTTCGGTTCATGTAGACTAACCTCCATATCATCTTTCAGCAGGGCTGGAGCAGGCTTGTACTCTGGATCATCCACATCCCTACACACATACAAATACATATCTATTTGTTTTGTTGGAGTTTACATCCAAATTGTCACAGATTGAAAAATCATTGTGTTTTATTGTGCTGGGCTTAAGTTGAGATATTTCTACGAGTGAAGACTTGTGATGTACACACCCATCCATGAAATCATTGCCTCTTTGTTCGGCAGCAATGGCCTTCTCATCTGGTCGTCCAACGCGCTCTATGAAGCAAAGATTCGGGTCTGCACGGATAGTGTTGTACTTCTCATAACCTAGGAGTGCACACAGGGACAAGTGATTAACAAGGTCAGCAAAGAATCAAACATGGAAACTGTTGGATAGGCAAAAGCCAGTAAACAGAACCTGGATGATTTCTCATATTTTACATTTTAATTTGTTTACTTTAACTTTAATTATTTCCACTTTGTAAAGTTAATACAGACACTTTAAAGTACAGCACGGAATAGCTCTTTTGGATACAACAAGTAACAGTAAGAGCTGACATGTCTTACCATGTTTATAGATGCCCAGCAGCAAACACTTGTCACAGATAGCATCCCACCACAAAGCTGGCAGCTCAGAATGGTCAGGATCTGGCACCCAGATCTTTATTTCACTGTGGAGAGGGAGTAGGAGGAGGAGGAGGAGGAGGAGAAGGAGGAGGAGGAGGAGGAGGAGGAGGAGGAGGAGGAGGGAATCAGAAGTATATTATTTTAGGAGACTTTTTTTTATTTGTTCCTCTATTAAAACATGGAATGAGATGCAATGGAGCAATGAAGGACACATTCAGCTTCATAGAATTGTATTATATCATTCAAATGAACAAAACATTGCAATTTTTGTGTTTAACTAATGTCTTGTTAAATATGTATGTGTAATAACCTCATACAGTTATCAAACTCAGTTTAAACAGGGGCCCTTTGTCTTTTTATTTAACCCTTTTTCCATCATTTCTTCTGTGTATGTAACTCAAGAGCTTCAAATATAATTCCAAAAGAAAGCTTGATTTAAGAATTGTGGGGGAAAATACAAGCTTCCTTAATTCAATCATGATTTATTGTAAGGTGTTGTTTCAATTAACCATCTTTGACAACACTGTCTGGAGTAAATATTTTTTAAAAAAACACACCCATCGTTCACCAGCAGGTGGAGCTCTACAACCGTCTTGTTAATTTAGCTGATCTGTTGATTCTTCCTTCAATAGGTTGATACCAGATACTTAGGACTATATTTGCTATTTCACACTGTTAATGATATGCCCTCTTTTTGATACTTTACTCTTTCCAATAACTAACTCTGTAGTGTTTTATTACAGCTGCTAAAGCCTTCTAACCCTCTGTGTAAATCAAGAATCCTGCTAATCCACACATCGAACTGGTCAGGAATTTCACTAGACAGAGTGTACGGTGATAACTACTGTGCTGCTTATTGTAGTTGTCCAATGAAGTTATTGTTATTCAAGCCTCTAAAGCAGTAGGAAATGCTAGAAATTAAAAAAGCATAGGACAGGAAGCTGTTGTAAGTAATGAGTAGGTTAAAAGTTGAGCTCACCTGGAGTCCGCACCATCCAGCACCTTCTGGGCTTGGCTCCCTATCACCTCTTGTTTCAGGTAGTACAGCATTCTGACCCTGAGCAGCACCCTGCATAGAAAACCCACTGGTCACAACAAAGCCCTGACCCCGAACAAACGCTGAGTGAGCAGTACCATCATGCATGCACACACACACACACACACACACTGCTGCAAACTGATGATCACAATGCAAATGAGAGAAATGTGAGACAATTCATGTGTGATCCTAAAATTGAACTGTCTAGGTGTATAATTGTACTGCCATACCATCCACAAACAACATACTGAACATATAGATGATGCGTATGCGTTTGACCACAGATTTTTTTGTGTGTTCAGCCATTAATCACAAGCTAGCCTTTCAAAGAGCTTGCCACAACACAGACAAAGCCAGATGAATTAATGTGAATTACGGTTTAATTGAAGTCGACATTATCGTATAGACCTCACAGGGAGTCATGAGCGTTTCTACAACACGGCTCTGAGGACTGAATGAACAGTCGACAGTCTCTCTCCAGTCGTCATGTGGTCGTGCTCTGGCAGTAGATGAAGGCTGGGAAGCCGAGGCTGACAAGGTAGAGGGAGGCTGACTCACAGGGGAGACATTAGCTCTGTGATGCATGATCACACATCACAGCCAGCAGGGCTTTGAGCGAAGACACAGTCAAGTGGTGGGAAATGTGTTTGCGCTGGTGTGCCAGGCTGGAACGTCTGGTATGCCTTGAGATTTAGCATTTTGTCTGAACACATAATGATTATTAAATTCTGTCATGTAATGTCTGCTGTTGGAAAAATTGGGCACGGGAGTTTTAAGGCTTCCTGGCATGAGAGCAAAACTCTCTGTTGAGGATTTGCATGGCTATGTAGTCATAAGCTGTCTTACAATTGTTCCTCTCAGTATGGTGTCATTTCAGAGGATACAGTGTACTCCTCTGACACTGTCAAATGCCAGAGAAATTTCTGAATGAAGCACCCTACCACCGCCTGTTAAGAAAAAACAATTTCAAAACAATTTAAGCAGACTAGATGAAAAAACAATTCCCATTGATCGTAATTAAAACATGTTGTGAAACTACTGATTTTTGAACAATTAAATACCGTACATAAGAGCAAGAGAAAGGTGATTGGCAGAATACCTCTGCAGGCAAATTATTTGTATTTTAAGCCAACATGAAAGAAAAATCATTACCAAACCTCTTCTGTCATTTAGGACTCAAACTGAAACCTGTTGTCTTCTCCACTTCCAAGGCTTCTTTCTGCTCTTTTTTAAAGGCACTGAAGGAAGTGTGGACTACCTTATAACAGAAATAATTCATACCAGGCAAACCTTCTTTTGTCTAAATGAACCCAAAATCCATCCCTGATTCACAGACAGTAACATTTTCAGGGCTTCCACCGCTGTCTGTCAAAGTGATGGATTTCTGTGGTGACCTGTTTGCACTTGTGGCCCTGCTAAATCAAAGTCTTCAACTTCCTCCCTCCCCCACCCTCCATCCTCGTGTGTGAATGGACCCGCCCAGGAGTAGCTGCTGCTTCCTCCGCCTGTCAGCCCGCCCTTCATTGCTCTTCTTCAAAGTGTTTGTGAGTCAGTGTGTGTGTGTGCTGTGCTATGTGGTTCACTCAGAGGCTGCGGAGGATCTCAGCAGAGTCATACACTGTCTTTCAGAGATGAATAAGCCAAGTATACATGACATGAGTGGCATGCAAAGAATTCCTCATGATCTGTTCACAGAAAAACATCTAACAAAATGCAGTGTAAAAGTCTGAGTCACTGTTGAAATATTGATTCGAAACACACAGCATCATGAAATGGACCAGTGCTGGAGCTCAAAACTACACAGAACAATAAATACAGTTTTTTTTTTTTTTTTTAATCTATACAGTAAAAAGTACAACTGCTTCAATCTTATGCAAACAGTCCACTTCCTATATTTCACACTCTTGTGAAGAGGCTTAACTGTCCAGCTAAGGAGGCCAATCAGCACCAACCTCCCCACCCCCCTTTACCCCACCAGTCACATTCCAGGTCCTCAAAGTGAAAAATGCAGAAGTCAGCTAACTCTGCTGGCTGTGCGTCCCCATTTGCGTGTCACATATCAGACAATCCCTGGATTCAGCACAACTGGACCAGGAAACAATGAAAAACTTTTCTATAGAAGCTGCAGTGCTCTGCACCCAGAAATGAACACCCCCCCCCCCTTATTGAAATAAGCAGCAGCCATGTTTTCAGCTTTATATCTCAGCCGCATTTGTTTTATAGCAGCCATCTTTTCCCCTCTGTCAGTAAAGAAGAGAGATCTATGACGGCCATTAGCTGGTCTGAAGTCTCATTAACAATCATATCAGTCAGTCTGGTCTCAAAGTGATGCACGTCTGTTAATGAATCAGTCTGCTGTCGGCTCCAATAGATGTTTTAGTGCCTCCTAATTAGTGTGGCTCGAAGGTGCCAGTGTTAGAATTTGAGCCACGGATTGTATTTTCATTTTTCACTTAGGCTTCATTGTATTAAAAATAAACTGATACAATCTGTGCTAGAAGAGAATAATGACCACCTGCCAGTAGCTATAATAGCAAAACCGTTTAAACACAGACACATGAACACTCACAATCATACACACTCTCCCACAGGCATTAAAACAACCCAGACCAAGACTGTTAGTCTCCTTATGTGCTGCAAGCAAGTTCAATCCTGAAAAATATATCAAATGTTACTCTTCTAAGTTATACCACTGTTTTAGATAACTGAGAATATTTAGTAACTTCCCTGATGTAAAGTTAATGCAGTTATAGCGGGAACTACAGGTGAAGTGGATTAAGTTGCCACCTACTTGTTGCAGTGGTGTTTGAGGTGTTTCTTGTAGCCGTCATCCTGAAGCATGTGCTCTGGGTTGTGTTTCCTGAGCCACTCAGCTTTATGGATGTCAAAAGAGCTGGACTGGATCTTCATCTTCTTTCCCTTCCTGCCTCTGGGGACTGGGGCAGACAAACCTAGAGGACAGGAGGAGGCTGACAGTTATAGGTGCAGTATAAGAAGTGAAATGTGAAAAAAGCACACTGTCTAACCTTTTCATTGGTCACCATCAGTTGTATAAAGATAGTTCAATGCATGCTGAAAGTGTGGAGACTCACCCAGGTGATTCTGTAGCTCCTTGGTTTGTCCATCCTCAGTAGGGGCAATGAGGTCCCACATGAAGCTTTTAATTTTGTCGTCTCCACGGTAATGCACCAGGCAGTAAGCCAGCAGGGCCCTGCAGATGGACTCCACGTCCCAATCTGTCAGCTGCTTCTTAAAACGCCCATGGTTCAGAATATCCTTCCAACGGCCCCAGCTGGACAACAATGGGACAAGCAAAATAGAAGGAAAGTTGTCACAAAGGAAAGATTCTCTTACTATAAAAGATGTGCTAATTTAATAGACATGGCTCACCCATAGACAAGCAGGTTCTTCTCTACTCTGAAGCACTCTGTGCGTCCATAGCTGTTGAGACGGTCATGGTTTCGCCTGAGCTTTGGTTTGGACTCATCATCATCGCTTTCGCCCTCTGAGAGCTCAGCTAACTCGTCCTTTGTGGCACTGAACGGCCTTGTCTGCTTTCTGACGCGAGGGGTGTCAATCACCAAGCTGTTCTGCAGGGGGGAATGGAGGGTGAACAAGACTGTAAAAAAGGACTTCCCAGGACCTTATCACAGCTAAGAAAGGCTGTCACTCTACTGTCTGAGCATTATATCTCTATGATGTGCAACAAATCTTTGTGAGCAATGCCCTCATTATGTCTAACTCTGCATAATAATTGAAGTGTTGTACAACATACTCTTCCGTTGACCATTTCCATGTCAATATCCGCCTTTTTGGCCCATTTGTCCCAGAAGTTGGGATCATCCAGAGAGATGTCTGTGCGGTTACCGGACGCCACAAAACTAGCCTGAAAACAGACGTTGGAATATACATTAACAATCCATAATCAAATCTGGAATTCATGATAAAACACTGCTATTCAAAAATACCCAGTTAAATTTATCCAGTCACAGGTAATATCATTCGAACGTAATAAACAGAAAATTTGAATAAAGTTTCATTTAAAGCTTTCATATTAGAACAGTTTTATGGCTCTCTAACAGTCACCTTAGCAAAGGTAGATCCTCGTCCCTCAGACTCGATGGTGATGGTCTTTGTCCTGCGCTGGAGAATCTGGTCGATGTCCTCCTCACAGAATTTTGCCCCTTCATCCTCCTCATCCATGATTGCCCCGTATGCACCACGTCTCAACAGATCCTCGATCTCTTTTTTAGACAGCTGCTGCTGCACAGCCTAGGAGCAACAGAATTCAACTCTGATGAATAAAAATACGGTGATATAGGCCAAATAATTATAACTGATTATGAGCTACAACCTACAACTACTTAATGCAGGATAAGGAAATGGTACCCTGCAAAACCTCATAGCTTTTACAAAACAGGACACGATCAAACAAACACCTGTTGTATTATACCGGGTTGCATATGAAGTCAGACCCGAAGAGAAGGCCTGCTAATAGCTCAACCTCTTTTATACTTCAGATAATTCTCAGAGGACACCATCCTCAGCTAAACATCCACCTACACACTTCACATGTTGTTGACACACTCCCTCACAAAGAGATTAAACTCTAATAGGATTGGTTACACTTTAAGTAGAAATTTCAAGAGCGAGCTCCAAGTTTGCGGGTTTGGGCACATTTGTTTTTCTCTGTTTTGCATCTTCTTCTTGTCTGCCATCTGTTGCACTGCTTCTCTGATATCACTCAGGGGCGATGATAAAGGAAGCTGTTGTCTTTTATTATTGATGGAAAGACCACAAAATCTTTTGAATTTTATTTGTGAAACTTTACTCATTGTCAAACCATTACAACAATTAAAGGTTGTCACAGTGAGAGTAAGAGACAGGTTTATTTTATTTTACGATTTTCCCAGTAATAATGCAATGAGGGCCTGATTCACTAAGAGTGCAGCCACTAATGGTTTCAAAGATGCACAACATTTGCTTACACTATCTGCTCAGTCCCAAGGTCTAATACAGCGTATGCAAGTATATAGCGCTAAAGATATTAAGGTGCAAACACGCTCAGTGCATTTTGTTTTTCTTGGTGTTTGAAAGTGGAGAAACGTAGGCTGAACCTTTACTCTGCACAGAGTTCCGTTCTGTCAACATAAAGATGATGACTGTAGGACGGGAGGGGAAACTGTTTCAGGGTGTATTTTGATACCAGACAAAAAAAATAGTTTCACTTGTTAGAACAAAGCTTCCTCTCTGAATGTAGCATGCAAGGGCAACTCGAAAAAATTTAAATAAAAAAAACTCACATCCTCGTGTGTAACGGCTTCAGAATAGTGGAATCGTTTTTTCTGATCACTGGAAAGTTTGCATGTGACATCTCCTATAAATACTGCTCTCAACTGTGTGTGGTCGTTGGCGCTGGTGTTTGTGAATTAGACGGTTTTTTTTGCAATTACGCTTATTTGCATAGAAAGAAACAAAATTCCCCAAATGACAGCGTAATGGCTTATTTTAATACATGGAACCAACAAAGACACAGAGACGCTGTTTGCTCTGCAGTGCATTAAGGGGAGTGTTTAACCTCATGCACATGTTCTGTGAATTAGAGAGTGTCTTTTTGATTCATTTGCACAGGTTTATCAGGGACAAAAGCAGTGCAATACTTTGTGAATCAGGCCCTGAGTGTTAAAAGCTGGAGCTACATTTGAAAGATGAGCTAAAAGAAACTACTCAGTTAAGATCCCTCAGGATTTAAGATTGTATTCATTGAAAATTGATGCTTATCTGAGTAAGAAAAAAGGGTAGATAGATAAACCCAATTAAATTAAATAAAAAACCCTGCACTCTATAATAATCCTGGTACTTATGGCTTTTGTGGTTTCCTGCTTTTAGTGTTAGCGTTTGATGATGAGATAGTCGAATAGAAAAAAACCATTCATGCCCAGCTAGGACAGAAAATCACAAACAAACATTCTTTTTGAAAATTAACTGAACATAATCAACATGACTAATTGATTTAATCCCCCATTTCTATTTCAAATAATTTGGAAACTTCTCAAACTTACCCCTCCCCCTGTGCCTCCTCCAAGGCTGTTATCTCGGCCACTCATGCTCTGCAACACTGCTTTGTCGAGACCCAGCTTGAGGCTAGCGCGATCAAACATTTCTCTCTCGTAGGAGTTCCTGGTGATCAGACGATACACCTTGACTGCTTTGTTCTGACCAATACGGTGGCAGCGAGCCTGGGCCTGTGAAGGGTGGGGAAAGAAAACGAGTGAAGCTGCTATATATGCAGATTGACATAATGTCAAATACTCTTAAATGATGATATGTTGTATAATGAATCTGCACTTGTTGCCTTGATTGGACAGCATGTAAAGCACTGTATAAGTGTTTACGTGGGCAGATCAAAGTGCTAAATTGAGCTTGTGCTGAAACATTAATAGCAGTTGGTTGTAACTTTATCTGTGAGTGAATGAGTTGGTGTGTGCAGTTATCTCATACCTGCAGGTCATTCTGTGGGTTCCAGTCAGAGTCAAAGATGATGCAAGTGTCTGCAGCTGTGAGGTTGATTCCCAGGCCACCAGCTCTTGTACAGAGGAGGAAAACGAAGCGCTCTGAGTCAGGCTTACTGAAGCGGTCAATCGCTGCTTGCCGCAGGTTCCCCCGAACACGTCCATCTATTCGCTCATACAAGTACCTGCAACACAGAAACACTGAGCTGTGATAAAGGTTCACAATGGCCCATTGAGTCAGGACTTACTCTGAATATCTGGGGTTTCACAAAAAATATAAAGCATTGAACATCAAAATTTGATAAATGTTTTTAATCCTAGGGAGAATTATTTAAACTAAGCTTGAAATAACTCATGTTCTAAAGTCTCCCTGTACTATTTTTTTTTTTGCTTTCCTTCTACATTTGAGAAACTATGTGCTCAAAGATAAAACTGTAGAGTGGTTATGCCCTTTCATCTTGTGTTCATTCTCATCCCCTCCCACAACCCAACCCCCTGCCCTCCTCCAGGGTAATCCACTCACAAGAAGACTCACAGAAACCACCACTTGTCTCAAGCAGTGGAGCCCAGAGGGCTTAAATAACCTGCTGCTGAACCCTGTCTGAGGTCTGTGCTGCACAGTACCTCAAATGTTTACAATAGTTTAGGGTTAAGGCCAGCTGCGGGTGAGAAGCCAGAAGAAAAAGAGAGTCAAAAACAGAGTCAAAGTCAGGAACGCGAAACGGAAGAGAGTTAAGAATGAAAATAAAGTCAAAGATGAGATGAAGCTGAACCACTGTAATTATCATATCTTTCAGTACATTCTTAACCTAAAGGCTAGTTGTAAACCTCCTCATGATTGTTACTTACTACTCGTTCCATTTCAGCTTTTATATGATCTTCTATGAAGACCTAAGACACTGCTTACACGTTGTCAATGCAAACACACAAAGGGAAGCAAGGTCTAAACTCATGATGTGAGTGTAAAAAAAACACTCCCATACTTTTCAGGGCCTCAGATTGTATAAAGTAGCTAAAAGGACCTGATACAAGTCCAAACTATAGCCAGTCACCTGAACAGTTTTTGGACCTGTTGTGTTTTGTCTTTTCATTCAAAAACAGTTCAGTGTGTTATTGACAAGGGAGCGGATACATGTATTCTGTTTTAGAACCGAGATGAAATATTTGAGCTGAGAGGTTTAAGACACTAGAATGTTGCAGGATTAAAATGGTTTGGTAAAGTTGTGAAATATTGTCAAACTTTTTGGGTCATACAATGGTAAGGGTAAAGACTGTTAGAGGTATGAGACTCGGTGCTCTTTTGAGTTGAACTTCCAAAAAATGGGCATGATTTAAATCCCCCTTTTCAGGCTTGTGTTGTAAAGGTTTTAGTCAGAGCTTCAAAGAATAAGCCCAGTGTCCACCTAGCATTTTGTTATGACAGCCAGTGTCTTTTTTTAATTGTTTTCAATGAGGAGAGAGGGTTCTCAACAGAAAGCGGACGCCTGGAGATAAAGCGCAGCTCCCAGTGTCTTTTCTTCCGAGCGCTCTGCCTTTATGTGCGGCCACTCTGAGCGTTCAAGACGAAAATCTTTCAACTTTTCAGAAAGGTACTGTTGATGTCTTTTCCAAATGTATGATAATCCCTGTATTTTTGCCGCCTACGGATCGTGTCTTGTACCCACATCCTCCTTGCTCTATATCTGATGGTTAAAAAACGATCTCAAATATAAAACATGTAGTAAAAAGTAACGCAGCAGTGTCGGTCATACAGCAGCCTGTTGACTGTTGTCATAGAGACAGGACGGACGTGCAGCACTTTTCTTCTCAGCGCACAAATGCTTCATGCATACACTCCTGAGCGCACAGCCAGCGCTTTCCTGCCCAGAAAAAACTCTAGGTGGACACAGGGCCTAAGTCATCCTTTTGTATTACCTTCTCTGAATGAGGTAGTCTTCCAAGATGTCCAGGCAGCGCACCATTTGGGAGAAGATGAGCACCCTATGCCCTCCGGCCTTCATCTTCGGCAGCAGCTTATCAATAAGGACCAGCTTCCCTGCAGACTGCACCATAGCCTGCAGGTGAAAGTCCATGGCAGTGGGGCTGTACACCTCCCTGAAGTCCTCCATGATCTTTTCTTCTGCTCCTGACAAACAAAAGACAGAGAAAATTCAGCAACACCCGCTCTCTTGCTTCTAATGATTTTCTTTGAAAGTATTTTATCCTCCTAATTATCAAGTGTCACTTCATATGAATCAAGACTTTTCTCCTTTATTTGATATATGTTAAAAAGATCATTAGACGCATATCTGCAACAAAACTTTTGCTATTGCTGAATGTGAAGTTTAAGATGACCGTGTCAAACATGAAAGTATGTGGTATTAATTCAGGAGTAGGTAGTGTTTGTCAAAAACACGATGATTTTTAACTGTGATAGTGTGGTTTTATTAAGAAGGGAGGAAAAAAATTAACACTCAAAAGATTCTATAAAACCGATGACATTTAAATGGCTGTTTCGAGGGACAATCACCAGGTGTAGAGTCTTATGAAATAATCACTTAAGGAACCACATAATAGTGAGCACCTTCATCTTCTAAATTGAGCCCACAACACCTCTGGAAGACTAAACAGGAAATTGTTATATTGCACACCTTCAGCTGCTATATCTGCAAAGCTCCCAACTATACATTTCGAGGATATTTACAGTTCCTACATGAACCTGTATTTAAGGTAAAATAGCCCCCAATTTACCTTTGATGAGGTAGGGGTGGTTGCAGCACTTTCTCAGCTCCATCATGGTGTTGACCAGGTTGGGCATGTTTGCCTGGCCAGCTCCTTTAGCCAAGAAAGAGAAGTTCTTCTCAAGGATCGCTCGATAGTACTTCTTTTGAATGTTTGTGAGCTCAACTTCAATGATGGTTTCCTCTTTAGGAGCCAGCTTCTTCTCCACGTCTTCCTTTAACCGACGCAGCATCATAGGCTTCAGGATGGCCTGAAGCTTTTGTACCTGCAGACCCAAACAGAAAAAGATGAAGTTAAAAAGGTTAGTATGGTACAGTATGGTACACTGTATAAAACACCGACAGTGACCTTACAAAATGCGCCTATACTTCTTCTGATTAAATCTGAAACAGCTGTTTTACACTTATTAGTATTGAATTTTCAACTTTGAGAATCAATCTTTTGATTCAAGGATTTCATCAAAATTTGGTTGCAGTGGAATGTCAGAAAAAGCTATTAATTACATTTGATACACAACCAGATATCCCAAAATGAAGAGTTTGTGCTTGGAATACAGCAATACAGCTTAGTAACCCACTGCAGGTCAGCTTTTCCCAACACTTTTCCATTTTTAACCAACATCGCTTAAAAAGGTTCAACATAAAAACCTTTGCAACTACCACTATGAGACAGATTTTGCACAATTGACTTCTTTAGTACTGCGTGGTGAGTACTACACGTTTCATATTTGACTTAAAGTATGAGAACAAAACTCCCAACATGCATTATGGTCTTTCATTGAGCATCTCTTCTGCCTACAAATGAAATGCCAAGCAGCGAGGTAAAACGCCTTTTTTATTGTGAGACCTTGTGTAAATACAAAGTTCAACAAAGACTAGCATTAATACTTCATTTTCTGTGTGTGTGTAGAAAATGTCACTGCGTAGGCCGAGTAAAAGCTGCACTTCAACAGATCTATCCGTACCATCAGGATCTTTGTATCAATGATGTGTGTTGTGTGGGCTATGAAACAATAATCAAACCAGCCTTCCTATCATTTACCAACAATAAATCATGTATTTAATTTATGAAATAAAAGGATTTCTAACCTGAATGAAGGACATGTAGACTTCTGACTTTTAATGGTAGCTAATGCATAATCCAGGCGGAATATTCAGAGAATGTAAAGAACCTTAGAACATGTACTCTTTTTGTATCAGCGGGCTCACCTGCTCCTCAGTCTTGAGGTCTCCGAACTCCTGCATGAAAGTGTTTTCTGAGGGAAAGCGTGCCGGCTCCAGGAAGTGGAGCAGGCTGAAGAGCTCCTCCACAGTGTTTTGGAGAGGAGTACCTGTCAGCAGGACCTTGTGCTCCTGAAGGAGAACAAAGGGAATGAGAGGAGAATGTATATTATTTAAAATGCATCTCATTTGTCAGAATATTCATGCATGTTAAGATTTCTCACTGCACACATTTATATGATAACATTTATTTTTGCTCGTTGATCTGGTGGTGGTTTATGTACCAGGCTCATGAGCTTGAAGCCCTCTAGCAGCTTGCAGTTCTTGTTCTTGAGGCGGTGAGCCTCATCAATGATAACACAGCGCCACTCGATGGCGTTGAGTTCGGGACATCCTCCCAGGATCATCTCAAAAGTGGTGATAACAGCCTGGAACTTGTAGGCCCCTCGTATCACACGGCCCTTGGGGAAAAAGAAAGGGGGGGGGGACATGGGACAAACTTAACATTTGAATTAAGCATTATAAGGGTGTGTACAAACTTAATTTCTATGTAGAAAAGTAAATGTAAGTTTAAAATGTAAATAAATAAATGTTTCAATGAGGGTGATAGAGTATGTTATTGATTAAAGAGGAAGATTAGGAATAAGTAATGTATACACATTCATTCTGCATTGTTCTCCCATTCAGCCTTGGAGTCGTTCATCTTGGCTGTTAATCCTGGTTTCACTATCATTGGAAATGATCAACAGCAAAACCAGGACGTAAGCGCACACACAGCGGTGAGTCTAGCTGTTTGTTTGTTTGTTTGTTTGTATGTATGTCTGGGGAGGTTTTGCTTCACCCCGCCTCTCAATTTGTATCTATTGCCTTGACAACACTCCTCTAGGGATACTCAGTTATCCAGTAACCCCCCTCCCACAGCCAGCCAGCCAACAGATTGCTGTTGAGGAGCCTTTCTATCTCTCTCTCTCTCTCTCTCTCTCTCTCTCTCTCTCTTGCTCTCTCTCTCTTTAATATGCCTGAGCAGTGCTGACAGAGAGCTCCCCTCGGGGGCTGCTGCTGTGACATCACAGGCTGCCTGGGAGACAGCCTGGTGGCGGCATCGCTCTGTACTGCTCTCTCTCGCCTTAATTCCTCCCACGGTTCGTCTGAACACTAAGAGCTTCGAACTGCCTGTTGTGACACATCACATGGCCCACCAACCACAGGAAGCCTCTGCCCAAGGCTCACTAACTACCTAGCAGCTCACATATTGCTGGGCACATGCCCCTTTTATAATGAAGTTCACACTACGTTAGTGACATGAACCAGTTTTGTGCTCTCATGCCTTACTGGGTAAGCAAGCATGAGACCTAAAAGACTTGCACTTGTTGCTATAATTTATCTTCCACTTTTTTGAAATTGCAATAACACCTTTAATGTAGCTGTTTTCAAGGCTAATAATAATGAACAAGTGTTAGTTTAATAATGTTTGATCTGACTGAATGAAGGAATCAACAAAGTCACATCAACACAGATGTTTTATTAACCCAATGAAATGTTTCATTATACGTCATCTGCTGCCTACTTTTTAGTTTCTCCAGGTGATTTTTCCTCTGGATCTCATAAAGCAAACTCACTTAGCAAAATGTTTCAGAGTACCGGAGTATCCAGGCCTTCTGCTGCACATGGTAATCACGGTCAGCCTTTTTTTCCCATAACCCACTCTTATTGTAATAAAGAGGCCTCATGTTTTCAACCATATCATTAAGTTACTCACAGGACTTCATACTGCTGCAGTTTTCTAAAAAGCACTCAGATCATTTTAATTGAAGTGAATCACTGCTTTCCTGTCTGGAGGTAAAGCAAATGCTTTCTGCTTGCCTGTCTTTAAAAAGAGGAACATTTGGTTGGTCAGGATGAACTCAAAGACCTCTCAATCTTCATGATTTCACATGTGTTTGGTACATGACAAGCTGAATGCCAGTCATTGTATTTATTACTGATTCTAATGTGGCTCCTTACAGCTTTACTTCGGTCAAATTTACAAACATTTACAGGCAACAGAGAGGTACATAATGACAAATTTGTGGAAATTGTTGTGTTCCCAAATGATTTTGTTTCCAACTGTTATTTCTGTCTTGGAAATAAGACTAGTGTTGACCTCAGGGAATAGAGAAGTAAAAAAATGACTTAAATTTACCTGTGCATCCCTGAAATACATCTCGTACTGTTGGAGCATCTGCCGGCTGACCGTGCTTCCGTGATAGACGATGACATTGAGATAGGTCCAAGTATGGAACTCTCGCTCCCAGTTGGCGATGGTGGAGAGGGGGGCGATGATGAGGAATGGCCCTTTAATGCCCGCACGGAGGATCTCCTCTAGGAATGTGATGGACTGGATGGTCTTTCCCAAGCCCATCTCATCTGCAAGTATGCAGTTTCGTCTGATAGGTGGAGATAAGGTTTAAAGAGAAGAAGTGGAAACACAATTAGCGTTACTTGTTTGTTACAATGTTTGTCAAGTAATGTGTGATGGATGGGTGGGGGTGATAAGGTGACAAGAAATCAAAGCACAAAGAGAAGCAAATAAGAATAATCCCATGATGTTAAAATAATAAGCAGTGAACCATGGAGGGGAAAATGACATGTTCAGCAGTAATAACACCAAAGAAACAACATAATGGCAAATACAACTGCCTGTGCAGCATGGTGTACTCCAGCAAACCATTATTCAGCTGTCCAGTGGGTGGGGGTATTATATCTTGATGCTAATTGCAACGTGCAGATATTCCCACTGGCCTCTTAAGCGGCTCTCTACTTCTGATGAATCTCTATGCGTAGGCATACGCAAAATCCTGCATGCTCACACATAAATCCAATTCCCAGGGTTAATACAAGCACACTTACACTATGTACTCCACATCAACACTGTGCAGTGATTCTTTTGTGATCACAGGCGAAGAAAAGCAATTGCAGTTGCAGCATTGTGCACCTTGACAGGAAATTTGACTCCCTTGCCGGCCTGACCAAATAATGTGAATACAGCCAAAACACAGCGTGGTCCAAACACTCACACATGAAAAGTTAATCTGTATTCATTATGCACAGTCTCAGTGCACCCAGAGGATTCCTCTTGAAATAAAGAATGCCTGTGTAAAATCTCTGAATCTATATCAAACATACAATGCCGTAGCGTTCGAGTCACATGGGATAACTGAAGCTTTAGCAGCATGTATACAGTATGTAAAAAGATGCCATTTAGTTCAGGTTTTAAGATATATGCTAACTCTACTATTTGTCTTTCCCTTTGAGAAGTGTGTCTAAGGTGTTCAGGCTTGCTCACATACGTAGAGTGGCAGCAATTCTCTGTGTCAATGAGTTTTCATAGTGCCTTTGTAAATGTGCTGGTTTAATGTGCATGTATGTGAAGGTATTACAAACTGACCTGTTGTACCAGTTGAAGAGGAGCCAGTTGACCCCCTCTAGCTGGTAATCCCTGAGGCTGTTGCTGTTCCTGTATTCCCTCGACTGCTCCCTCTTCTTCCAGTGATTGGCTGGGGGCCGTTCCTGAGCAAGAATTCAAACAGTTTGTTAAGCCACTCTATGACTACATTTAGAGTGGCTTAGGAGAAAATGTTGGACACAATTTTTATAAGGATTGACAAGGGGTAATCTTTGGAAAAGAGACAGAGTTGAAGAAAGCCAAATCATATTAAGGTCTAAACTGAAACAGGATGTTGTTGTCTTTTAGGGAAAATTGGTCTTAACTTTTTCATATGTTGAACATGTGCATTTTCATCTGTTTTTGGAAACATGGACATACAGTTACAGTTGTTCAAAGTGTAATCTTTTCTAATGAACAGGGACGTGAATATTAAAAGAACGTGAATAATATTTGTTAGACTGCAATGGTGCTGATCACAGGCAGTACACATTACATGCTGCTCTGTGTAGTCTGGCCACTAAACTGTATGAGAGAAACTACCCAGTTTTTGTTTTCTAGATGGAGCCTATGCTTTGGGATTGAAGTTAAAAATGGTCTGTTGAAGCCTATTTGTGTTTTTTTCTTGCTTAAGTTTAACCTGTGACATGCATATGACAGTCATTTCTTAGTTAGGAAATACCTCCTGGATATATACAAGAAAAAAAACACCAGTCTCTGAGTGTGGTTGACTGAAATTCGGTTTCATTTCACAGTACAGTGTGATGGGTGCTCACCAAAGATTTGACTACCACAAATCTTTTTAACATTTAACAGAAAAAAACCCAAAGATATTTAAAAGGCAAAACTTTCTTTATAACGTGTGAAAATACTAACAACTAAAATATAGAGCATGAGAGCAGAGGAAGGTGTAAATACTATGATTAGTTGGGATTGTGTGTTGTCATGACTTACCATCCTGCGCGAGTCTGGCTTGACTGCCTGCAGCTGCTCAAACTCCTCAATCTTGCTCTGATCTACGTCGTCTTTCAGCTCCCAAGTGCTATCCTCGTAAGCCAGAGAGCTCCACTTCACAAGGTAGTACACCACCTCCTGCAGCAGGCAGACAAGAATTAGAACTGCAAAAGACTAAAACGAGGCCATGCTCTGCTTTTATGATATTAACAAAAGGCTGCGAGGAAGCCCATTAGGATGGCCTTGGGCACTTCTGGTTTATAAAGGCAACACTGAAGTGGAGGATGTACTGAAAGGAAGATATTTCACTGAACACTGAAGGCAGGTAGACACAAATAAAAACACGCTGCAAACAGATATGATTAACAAATTAAAGGAGATTTACTTTACCTCTCCTGTGTCTTTGTCCTCACAATATGACACCTCCAGCACTCTGTCTACCTCTACATAGTCAGGGTTAAAGGGGTCCTCTTCCATCTGAGAGAGACAGAAAGGGAAACAAGAAGGAAAAACGAGACATCATAAACCTGAGTGCCCACTCACCATCTGCGATCTGGGACAAGCATCACTACTGTATCCACTGAGCAGGTAAAGACATTCTAATGTATGCACACAGATGTGCCTTCCCACACAAACAAAACACAAATTAAACATCTACGCACACAATATCTATAAACATGTACACTACACACACACCTGCTCACACCAAATTACCTGTGTGTGCATGTACACAGGAGGACAGTATACTGTATTCGGACAAAAGCACAAACACACATAGCCTTACATCTGCAAAGAAGAGGGCCCTCTGTGCTTGTTTCATCTTGAAACGTTTGATCTTCTGCTGAATCCTCTTGTCCCTCTCCAGGTGTTGCTCTGTGGCCCACTCACAGTGTAGGTAGGAGCTGACACACACACACACACACACACACACACACACACACACACACACACACACACACACACACACACACACACACACACACACACACACACACACACACACACACACACACACACACACACACACACACACACACACACACACACACACACACACACACACACACACACACACACACACACACACACACACACACACACACACACACACACACACACACACGAAAAACAACAAAATATTTTCTAAATAACATCTGGGGTAACAATGGAGGCCAGCAGGATTTATCACTGATCCTACATGGTACAGATTTTTACTGTCTTGTGATTCGGAAAGATTCTTATTCCTCAATCCAATTTGGGTCACAAATTTCCATAGTTGTATGCTTATATGATCACACAGTTATTTTTCTTCATCCTTTGCCTTTAGGCATTTGTTTTATTTTTTTATCAATTACTTAAAAATCATTTATTATAATGTAAAATGTGCATCAGTAAACTCTAAACAAGAAATCTTACTGTTAGATGAGAAGAGCATAATACATATATAGCATGTCTTATTCTTGGCTTCATGGCATCATTCATTAATAAAGTTGTAAACCTTCAGTCTCTAGAAAGAGGTTAAATCTAAGTGAAGCACTTACTAGTTTTTGTATTTGACAAAAAACTCCTCCGTCTCGACCACAATTCCCGGAGAGACCTGTTGATAGATTATTGCAACACAACCGTATATATAAGTCAAGAACTGGATGGCTTAATGAAGTTATGTTAAACAGTTGTGAACCACAGTAGTTCACATTTAAGATTTTAATGAAGATGCATATCAAGTAAAATTATTCGTGGTAAACAATATTTGACTTTCTTGCAAAATAATGCACGATAAATCATAAAAACCTCAGCATTACCTCCTTTTTGACGATACGAGAAGACATGATTTTGTCAACAACTGCAGCATCTTCTTCACTGGGATTCTCCTGTAAATGCAGTGGACAGTAAACAATCAATGTCAAGAGTTCATTCAAAGTCTCCTACAGCAGGAATGTGCATTAGCCTGGGGTAAAAAAATAAAAATAATATATATATATAGATATATACACACTGTATTTTTATAGAAATATAGAAAAATGACAGATTTAGATAAAGGAAAGCAGAATGCCATGACGATCTAACAATACTGCCCTCCTAATTTTTCCTTTTGCATCTAAATCTATAAAATGGGCACCAAGTGTTTGTTTTCCTTCTTTGTAGAGAGACTGCAGGGGTCCTGGTTTGCACGTCACAAAGTGGAGATGAAAAGAACAGGCTGTGCTGCAATTCACTGAGCATGTAGAGCTTCTTCAAAATGTTTTTTTGTTAGTCAGGACATGAAGTTCTTTTCAGCTCTAGTTTTATGGATCATTGCCTCAAAAACAGTCCTTTGAATTGACTGTGTTGAGGCTATTTGTGCGTAATGACTGAAAGACTGATCAACAATGCAGACTATGTGGCTGTTTTTGCATTCTGTTTTTCTAAAAAAAATAATACATTTAAACTTGATCTCTAAGCTATGAGGAGATTAGTAGGTAGAACTACTTACTACAAAGAGTTGAAGAGAAGGCGCTTTGGATGCTGATGTTTTCTTGGCTTTGACAATAACCTTGACTTCTTCATCTGACAACCTGGCCTCCAGCTCTTCAGCGTATTTCTTTCTTTTCACCTGGCGATTAGATCGCCTCTTCTAGAAAAGCAGGGCAAAATGGAAGAAGCATTTTTATAAAGATATGTATTTTATCTGAATGATCAAAAATCAATTACACAACTGCAATAATGACACTGTAGCTAAGGATACAGGAAAACAGTTGGTCATCTTCCACACATGGATGTGAAAAACATTTGAATATGAATCGTCAAATGTGCATGACCAGAACTGTCTTCATGTGTAACATAGCACGTATAACATCAAAGGATCGAGGATGTCACTTTACACTTGTGTAATCTCAAAGTGACTAGAACTCTGCTAAAAACCACACAGTTCACACCATTTCCTACAGCATATACAATGATTGATTGATCATCAAGGTTTGCGAGTGAGTCTACTTCCTGCTCATTCAAGCTCAATGTTCCAGCTATTTCAAATTAGAATTCAACATCATTTAAAGTGACAGCAACAATATAAAAACATTCTGGTTATTGCTATCGAGTTAAAACATTTACTTTTTCAAGCTGTTAATGTCTCGACTTATTTACATTATTGATATCACCTATAACCTATCTGAAACACATAACTCTAGATGTGTATACATCATAGTGTCCATTATATCCATGTCAGTTTTTAAATGAGGGAGGAAAAACATTAATCACAAAATACCTTCTCACCACAGCAATCCATATTCAAATTATCTAGTGAACCCTCTATTCTTTTGATGGTTTCAAAAACATGAAACATCTGAATCTGAACTTCATTACAAGGAAAAAAAATATATCAGAAAATCATTCTAATGAGTCTGAGAACAACCCACGCAACACAACAGAGCTTTAAAATCCAGCTTCTTTCAACTCCTTCCTGTCAAGCCTTTATAATTATCCCATGTGTGGGATGTTGTATCCTGCATCAATACATGAGCCCCTCCTAATGATAATATGTAGTTAATTAGGAATAAATGCCACTGAGCCAAAGTTAATTAGGTGTGGAGTACAATATCCCCATGGAGTTATACCCTCACATCCTCCAGCTGTAGCTGACCAGAAGCTGGAAAGTCAAAGATGGCACATGCTATGACGATAGGGCTGAACCCCTGAGGTGACTATTCTAGCTGTCGGCCACGCTACCTTGACTTCTTCAACAGGATCATCCTAAATGAGTCATCAACAGACTGTTTTAATTAAGGCCAGGGGCGCTACTTAAACAGTGTAATTATATCAGAGCCAATAGCCTGGATAGGATGCAAAGAGAAGGGAGAGGGGTTGTGGGATGAAGGAGGGGGCAAAGTTGCTTTTAATCTCTACTTATTCATTTATTATCATGGATGCTGACATCAAATCATATTAAAGCACATTTTGCAATACATTTTCTACAACATAAATTATTTGTACAATACTGAGTAGTAAAAAGAAAATAACAGATTCTTAACCAACTTTGTATCACATATAGATATTATATGAAAATGTGCCTGCCCACTAGAGTCTCCTCTAGAGTGGTGTGGCGCCAGAGTAAAAAAAAAACCATCTGAGATCAGCTGGTGAGAACACATGTTGGAGGAACATGGCAGAAAGCAGTATTACTGTGGACATGGAGGGAAACTATTTCAATACTATGATGTTGGAGTCAGAAAGTCTGGGCTTCTTATACGAGCCAGAATCCAGTGCAGAGGGCTTACGGCAGGGAGAGGAGCATGAGGCTGCAGCAGCAGCAGAGGGTGAAGCAACACTAGCGGGTGAGGGAAAGGTCCTGCTGGAAGGTTGGTCTATCCAAAAGGGACCAGCATAGCAGTGGCCTTTAAAGGCAACAAGCCCAGTGCATTCTGGGTGTGAAATTATTTGATCCCTTTGGGTAGAAGGGAATAACACAGTTCCTTTTCTAGAATTTCTCTGGTTATGTGGCATCGATCTAAAAAATGGTTTCACCTTTCTACTGCATAGTTAAGTCTATATTCCCACTGTCAAATGTATTCTTTAAAATTTGTTTATCAATTCACCTTTAAAAACCCTAACATATAAGAAAACTGTGAAATATTATTATACATTTTTACAGCTTTTTAAAATGTCCTCATAGTAAGGTAAACAGCTCCTTATTCACTGTTGTGTCCATCTGGTAATTTCATTAAGATGTGCTTGAAATCTTCCCCTTGTTGGTGTTTTTCTTTTCTTTTCTTTTTTTTTTTACTTTAAAAAAATCTTATCCTCAGGTGGGCAATTGTTAATATTCCCACCACAATACGTTGTGTTAAATCGAGAATAGAAAGAAGATATCATCAGTCTGAAATTAAGGGTTTAGATAATTGAATTTAGCTAAGTGTTATGTCATCAAACTAACCATAAAAACCTGCTGGTTATTAATTTCACAGGCTGCTTCTGTGGCAGTAACACTTCATTTAAATGATAAAGCTGTTTAATTCAGGTATGTGCATGAGATCTTTCTAACAGTGCTCTCTGATCAAAAATCATCCACGCAGTTAAGAATGTGTACTTGAGATAGCCACCCACTGCATGACCTCTGTTTGAACCACAGAGTCAATCCTCCTAGGCTCAAAGTGAAGCTGGGAATCCTTCCTCTGAGCAGTGAAACAGTCAGACTACGGACACCACTCCAAACGTGTACTGTGGGTTTATGTTTAATTGTTCGTGAAGGATTTGTGAGTGTGTGTTTGGTGGAACTTACAGAGTCGACATCTTTGGATGACACTTTAGAAGAGTGTCTCAGGGGAGGGTCATCATCCGACTCCTCCTCTGAGGACTCAGGCTTTCGCTTTTTTTTCTTCCCAATCTTGATGACAATTTTCCTGTAGGAGAGAAAGACGACAAACCATAATTATAATAAAAAAGATATTGAATCCTCATCCTCCTAGTACATAAAGTGATGTTTGCTGTGCATGTTACTATAATACAAATATATCATACATGAAGCCAAAATCCAAGTGTGCCATTGTTTATGAATCTCACATAAATCTCCTTATAAACAGTCTTTAGGAATCTTTCATTCCTAAAAAGTGTCCTCAATCCAGTGAAACCTACGAAATACTGATACAGAACTTCATTCACTGTGTTGGTACTACCAACATGCCCTGCAATTGGTTTTTTTCCAGAATTCCTGCATGTGAAGATCTGTTGAGGTATGGAAATTGACAGGGTATTTTATAATAGTTTAACCTAAAGTCTGTTGGAACTTCAGATTTTCAGCTTAGCTTCAGATTGTATTTAGAAGAAGCCGGTTCTGTGGGTGATGACTCCCATCTTCTTGTTTAAATTGCACATATATTTTTATCCCTGCACAGGTTATGTACATTTCTTGTAGAAGTCTATTTTTTAATTGCACAGGTTAAGTTTGATTCATCTCGGGGTATTCTTTAAATCTTTTTTTCGGGTTAATATATATGTTTGGGAGGGGAAGGGGGGTGTTGGTTTTGTGGTTAATTTGTAACAAATGTTTCATGTCATGTACGTCTTTGTAACCTGCTACTGGATGCTTTGATTTTCCCTCGGGATCAATAAAGTATCTATCTATCTATCTATCTATCTATCTATCTATCTATCTATCTTTGTAGATAGAAATCTTTGTGGCCAGTAAGATTTGGAGCAACAAACAGTGACCTATAAACCTTATAATTTACAATTATGTAAACAACCAGTGCTTAAAGAAAGACTTGGCAATGTAAACCTCAGCCAATGTATTACATTATTTAACTTATTTTCAGTGGATTGATAACAAAATGCTTGGCTGAGAGACTCTTGCCTCATGCAGAAGCACTGTGGCAAAAACAAGAGATTGTGGACTGGCAGCTGCTGCACTGCAGTCCATAAACAATATTTGCAGCAGTAGCCTTTATTCTATAAGAAAAGCTCATTGTGCAGCTGTCAGCATTACATTTTTGACCCTGCTATACCTAAAATGACTGATTGGGGGACCAGCATGGTAGGAAATGCTTTCATGTGTTAACATGCTCACTACAGGAGCTGCCTGAGTTTATAGGGAAAGGAATTCAGTGATTTGCTTAAGCTCCCACAGAGCCTGAGGATTGAGACCAGCATCATTTGATCGTCATTTGGCAAACATTTTTCTCTTTAAGCCCCCATTACTAGTTTGTGAGTTTTCAAATATTCACCATGGCCACATGTACAATTGGAATACAAAGACAGACTGCTGGGATGTAATGATATCAGATAGCAGCAGATTGCAGACCAAGCTTATACTTTTCATCCTCTTACTCTCTCTTCCCTCTTTCACACGTAGTCGCATATTATTTCTGTGACCTTTCTCTGTATACTTTCTCACCACATATGCACACACTTCCTATATTGCGCCTCTCCACATCTCTTGGAAGACACAGGCGCCAAATCTCTGGGGTGTTGAGATATTAATGGAAAAATAAAAATAAAAGCACGGCTATCATACAGACACACAAAGGCATCTTTCCTCTCACTCTCCAATGTGCTTGCAAACGCATTACTAACCCACACAGACAAACATGCTCCTCACTCCACACACATACAATACCAGGCACTCAGACATACTGTTGCATGCCCAGGTTCATCTCCAGTGGGAAAGATGTCCCTGTGGGGCTTGTTCATATAAGATAGCATTAAAGGCTCAGAAAAAAATAATTCCCATGCAAGCCAATACTTTCTTATGTTAGCCAACAAGTCATTCTGTTAGACACCAAGAGAGCCAACTTGACAGTATGTTATCCCACAGAATATAAAATAAGCTTGTTCAATAAGTCAGCCTTTATAAAAGATACTTGCCCTCTTTTTATGTGATGAATGTAGATGATGGAGTTGCATGTCTACAAAATTTCTGATTTATTTCCTGTTAGCACTCCTACTTTAAGCATCCAGGTTACTGCAAACTGACAGACTGAAATGCCATCTTTATACAGTGTGGATATAACACAGTAAGTATAAGTAACCACATCAGATAAGGAAATTAGCACCTGCCACCTGCCAAGTGCAGTGTAACAGTTGGCTGTGGCAGGTAAAAAGTACCTGCCACCACAGCAAATAATTCATTCATTTTTCATCATTCCAAATACAGAATATTACAGAAGTAACTTCAATCATAAGAAGCCAGTAAAAGAGATCAACGCCACAGTGACAGGTGTGAAAAAGAAAAACTACATGTCACACCCTGACCACAACAACACAACTTCCATCCATAAACTTCCATTTGTAATAAAGCACAGAGAACCATGAAATCATATCTAGAGAGTTAAGTCAACCTTTCAGGTCTCTTTTTAATTAACTTGATCACCTTCTAGACAATTGAAGCAATTGAGATGTTGGGCTAGATAATCTCTGGGCCTTTGCTAATGTGATTGAAGTAGCTAAAGTTAAACCCTAATAGAAGTACTAAATTAATGATGTGTGTATTTGTTGGAGGTAGAGATCTATTAATATATTTAAAAAAAGAAAAGATAGAAAGAACTGGACAGATTTTAACTTTCCCTGTTAGATTAGTAGAAACACTTGGTTGTTGTGGCTTCAACATTAATGTAGTTTCCATCAACAAAAGAGCTTGACTTGGGGTAACAAACATACAGCAGGCTGAGAGGCAATCTATGTCAAAGACTTTTCTGGGCACACTCTAATACACACCTAGTGTAAATGTTCTGACCTTTTTCAAATAGAAAACAGTGGATTCCTCCAGCAGCACTGTGTTTAATAGTGTCCCATCTTTCTGCTGTCCCTCCCCCTCTGGATGATATTACATTTCACAAATCCTCTTGACAATGACACTTCATGGTTGCCATGCAACATGCCCTTGGGAGGGTATTTAGCTGTGTGGGCGGTAATGTTCATGGTGACATCACTTCCTGGGAAAACAACACCAGTACATGTCCACTAACACGATGAATAGGTGAGGAATGTGCCAAGTCAGAGAGTGGCACAATGGGGGAAAAAAAATCATCCAGCTGTGCCACCGAGAAGAAAAGAGTTAAAAAAAAAAAAAACAAAAACATTATAAAGCAGCTGAATGGCACAACACACAATGTTCTTCCTCTACCAAATAAAAGCTGGCCGGCAATCGGGCCTTGCAGATTAACAGTGTCACATTACCAGGCAGCAGCTCAGCAGCTAACAGAATATAACAGGGCTAAAGCATCTCTCTGATCCACATATGGGAGAACCTGAACTGTGAAACAAGAGACTTGAGGGCTGTGAAACCATCAGATTAGCCAGTACACAGAGAGAGAACACTGATGGTGAAGTGGCTCCTTTGCACCGTGATATGGAAGCATGGCTTTTACATAAGTAACATGGCATAGTAAAAGCTTAGTATGATGAAAGCATATATTCTAGGTACATAGATGGGTAGAAAACTCCTAAAGCACACAAAGCATAAGCCACATCTTAGCAATGGTTACAGCCTGTTCCACCCAGCTGTGGCTGATACACAGGACCACCCAAGGGTTTACCAACACTACCGCACACGCTCCGTTTGACTGGGTAGCTTCTCCACAAGCTGAAATATATTAAATCCAATGACAGGGAGGAAACACACGCATCCAAATCATCTTCTTACTGCTGAAAAGAGGGGGCAGTCAGTTTTACTCTTGAGGGTCAGAGTCAAGCCTCCCTCATGTGAAGAACTGGATAAAGAGCTTCTGCACAGGAAGATCAAATGCTGCACAATATATATCTTCTGACCTTGAAGTAGAAAAGAAGGATGTCTTAGTGTTGTAACAAATGCAATTGAAGAAGGCTTACGCCCCATAAAGCTTAAGGAACAATGTTGAAAAATAATAATCATTAGGGTTTCAAGAGGGTCCTCGCACGTTCTGTGCCCGGGCCCTAATTATTGACAAAATAATTATACAAGATTTCTTGCTAACTGAAAATACAGTCAAAAAGCCTGCCTTTTTTTGAAGAAGTCATTTTCATGTATATAAATAAAGTTATTTCTCAGCAAGTGTCTCATCTTGTAATCCAATTATTTTAAATCAGAATACTGTCATGAACCATTTACTTAAGACAGACTTGCTGCCAAAAACAAACACATGAAAAAATGTAGCTGTCGGACTCAATGTAAAAATACGATTAGGTATTTCAGTACCGAAAAGCCCGGGGCTAGTTCTGAGCTAACTGCAACATATTTAGGGCCTTAAACGTTTAAAAAATATAATCTATAAGAAAACTAACTGCACACAGGTGATGAACCCTGCACAACAGTAGAGGGTGATGTTGAAGTTAGAGCTCTCCAAAGGGCTGGATTGTTTTGGCAAGCCTGCTTTTAAACTGGTTTTGGGCACACTATAACACATATTCAAATGCCAAACCATTTGGCAGGAAACTTTGCAACAGCTGTCATGTAATTTTCGTTGAATCAAAATAGTGGGTGAAAAAAAGGAGTGTAATTGTAAATCAACCCAGTCCTTGTTGTCAGAGAGGCAATGTGGAGACACAATGTTAGTGAACAACATGTCAGATTGAGCCTTGATTTATAAATACTATATATTTAAGGATAATAAAAGGGATTGATCGACCAAATAGTAAAACTATTTTGATCTAATGAGCATACTGTAAGACACTTTCCACTTTTAAAAGGGGAATAGAAGCATTACTTTTAAATCTTAACAATACCACAGCTGTATTATATGATTCTCACTTAGACATCATCTTATATTTAAAATGGTACTGACAGAAATGATACACCACATGTTAAATGATCCAATATCCCTCTATATCACTGTGGACATCTTGAGTTGTTGTTTGTGATATTAATCAGTTTTCTATGAATTCAGAAAGCAATAAAATGTTTGTGTTTCTAATATTAAAACAGTTAAAG